CTATTTTACTGTAGCTACTTAAACATCAGAAATTCAATGGTATGGATTATGTAGCATTATTACAGATTTACAATTACTGATTAACACTTTAACTGGTAAAAATTAATATATTAGATAATAATTAATCTAAATGTGTTATCGGTAGCAAAGTTGGTAGTATTAATTGCCGTACTTTGAATCTTAATTTGATATTACATAAATGATCGTCTGGTGTAAAATGTTATCGGGTGTATTCTTGTAGTTACGGAAAGTTTATTTTCAAATACTGGAATATTTCTTGCTAAATCGAACATAATTTAATCATTACTATAGTTAGGTTATGTGTTCGAGTGGATTGAAAAACGTAAATTGCTGGTATACTTACACATACTAGTTTACAAAATGAAAAAGATATAGTAATACCATAATTTTATTACCAAGGATTTTATGGCTCGTACACTCCTCCCGAAATCTTATTTACTTTTCAAAATTTTATCGTACTGTTCGTTCTTTTAGTTCGCTTTCATCAGATATCTTTTACAGATAAAAATTAAAGTCTCTAGCACTGTAAACACATTATTTTGCTATCTAGGTCAACCGCGGTATTTTATTTTCAAATTGATCTATAAGATTGAAAAATATCATTTAAAATTGACCAAATAAAATATGCTTCGGACACTCATATTAGATACAGATAATAATCAAATATCATAATAATTGTAAGTAATTGCTTCTGATTAGAATTTGCCTGAATCGATGTTTTCCATTACTGTATTTATTATCAGGCTGTTTTTCAGTTGAAGTGATATTTTTGGGTATCATCTCAAAATTTTTAGTTACCGATCGTTGGATCATTTGTTACCTCAGACATTTCCTTATTAGCTAAATACTGCTATTATCCTTAACTTATAACAGTACAAGACTCTCTAACTCACCAAAATTTCAAGACAATAAAGCCTATCATACAGCAGTCACTATAATTGCACGAGGATACAGCCACAATTAATTTAATTAGTTATACCCAATTAGTTCCATCCTCAGCATTCTAGTATTGTATTTACTAGTTACCATATCAGGACATAAGTCTCTCGATTTCAGTCATTAAATTCATTGCGAGCCGTGCTAGATTGTAAATAATGATTTAAAAGTGTTATCTTGGAGATAATCCAAGTCTGAATTGATAGACTCGAAAGACGAACTTATCTAAGATTTAAAGAGAAACTCTATTCTAGAATTACCTTCTGCTATCAAATAAGTAAGTATAGTATTAGCTTTTTTTAATTTCTTAACGTAGGTTGTTAATAAGAAAGAAGTCATTCAAAATATTAAGTTTAATAAAATGAAATCAAAATTTGCTTCCATTTAATGTTACTCAAGTCTCTAGGAGATGAGACCACAACCATTTGTATCTGAACTTGAATGTCGGATTGTATTTTCGACCATGTCCATTTCAACTTTGTCCTTCTTATTATAGGTTGATTCTAAAAATAACATAAAATGAAAAGGATTCTATTCCAACAATAGTCTCTCTACTATTGTGTTGAAAGTAATAAAATAGCATTACCACCCAGTTGAATAAGTAAATTTACAACAATAACACCCTGCCTTGAAGATTATTTATCTAAATTAGCCAATAATCAAGTAGAAGTAGTCTCACTCTGTTATTATCAGTAAAAATAATACTAACATTGATCTTAGATTGTTATTATTTGCATCATCATCTTTAGCTATCAAGTAAAAACAACGATCATCCTACTCAATGCAGTGCCCAAATGATGGAAATTCGACGGATAAAATAATAAATCGAATATCCATTAATGAAAGAGCATCCTTTCCCCCTTTCTATAGTATCCTATCGATGATGCACAGAGCCGCGTTATTTATTCAAGATATTCTCGAACCCACAGATAAATTGTATTGACTAACTCAATCCCACTTTCACTCTATTCATTGAATGATACAACGCAGTCTTACCAACTACTGATCCATTGTTGTGATTCAAATTGATCAGAAATAAAACAAGGCAACAACAACGTCCAATTTACTATTTCATCATTGGCTAACATTTCTATGGACTATAGATAGACGCCGATAGACAGGATCTATTTTTTCCACTCCTTTGACAAAAAAAACTTGGAGCAGTGACACCAAGACAAAAAGATTAAATTAAATATATCAACCTCAAATACAATCAACTAGTATTAGTATAATAGAGGCAGATATTACCCACTTTACCCTCAAGTTATTAACAAGAACAACTTTTCATTTCCAAATCGATTCTAAACTCCTACCTGATCCAAATTTTATTCAGCTTGAAAATTAATTTTTTAATTATTAGCCACTCTTATTAACGAAATTCAAACTTAATGATGGCGATTAATATCAAGTTGGTTATGATACTTGTTACAATTTGGGCTGCAATTGCTTTACCCACCGTATTTTTTATAACCCAGCCTAAAATTCCATCTAAATTACGGTAAGTTAAAAAATCAATCGATAGGATTGCCATTTTCTATCCAATCGCTTTCATATCGCTTCTCTTTAATGATTACACTGTTTGTCTGTGCTTTCTCCATCAATTTGTTTTTTTCTAACATCCAATACAAGAATACTTGGATATTTCTTCGAATCGATACACTCATAATGATCAGATTATTAGTCCTACAAAGATAAAATGAAGAGCTGTGCAATATAATTTCTTGCTCATCAAGCTATTCTAATCATTTAAGTTAAGGATCAATGGACTGAACTTATCCATTGAACTTTAGATGGCATGTGTTAGCCGGCAAACGCTAAAATGATTATGCCATCGTGTCATTGTCAGAAGGACATTATCGAGTAAAACTTCTCCTTATTCTTTCACGGACTTGGATTTTAGTCTTGACTAGTTGTAGCTATTTTGCAGTATCTATTTTATCCATGGATAAATGTTCTATTTCCAATCGTAAGATTTTCTTTCTTTATAATATGATCGATCAACATAAATATTAGAACATCGAATGACCCACCATCAAGAATATCAGTATGTACTAAACATACCTACATATTTTCGATAACTCCGTCATATCGATGTTACTATTATTATGTTTTAAACTTGTTAGTGATGCCCTCTAAATCGAACTAGACTCAATATAGTTAGTAAATTTATACATGTAAAAAGTATGAGCTGCTCTGTCAACATTTGTACGGTGATATTCGAAGACTCTAATTCAATACGTATAACGCACTACCTATGTTAGTAAATGACGGTAACTTTGTTCTTCATGCACATGTTAGATTCTCTCTGACACGATTGAAAAGATTTTCAATGGCGATAGCAGATCTTGTTCATAATTAATTTACTTTATGAAGATACCATCGATCTTAGGGATATTTTAATATAAATTTTCCCTTTCTTAGTTTGGTTAAAGCCAATACAGCAATTCCTTGTGAATTGTTGCCATCTTGACGATTCTGTCCTGATCAATGAGACGATTGAAGATCTTATTCTGGACTGTGTCTGTAATAAAAGGGGTAAAATGACATTGAATTGATCCTTTCATAAATTGAGAATGACAGCATAAACGATATTCAAACATTAAAATGGACGATTCATGTTAATAACGAGAGTCAAGCTTGCAGTACTGATTTGATTAAAAATCATAATTGTAGTCTGTAAAGAATCTTTACAGCTTATGCTTTTATTTTATTGATATTACTGACATTACTGGACCTATCCAAGAAACGAATGAAGGCCATAACTCGCATACGTAGATGTTTCAGTGTCCACTTCAAGTCTATTTGTTGATCAAGAAAATGGTATCTTCACCAATTAATCGAATAGTTGATGATCAAAGATGAATTTATCAATTAATTATCCAAGAAACGGTCACAATGGTTAAATGGATTGACCAAACTATACTTCGTCTAAAGCTATTAGTATGATTAAATTAGCCAATAACTAAACAATAGTATGAATTTAAATACCTAGAACAAACTGAGTAGTAGAAGAAGAATGATAGTTGGCTTAATTGAAGCAAGTATTGGCGCAATTCGGTTCTAATGTGAATACTAAGCTATGAATAAAGTAGATTATTGATTAGTCTAATCCGAAATAGTGAAAATAGTTGGAAGTACTAGCGTTAAAGTACGATAAAGAAAACTGTCAATAAATCAAGATGACAAAGGATAATCGAAGGGGTAATTTATCCTTACTAGTAGAGAATAAATAGAAGTGCTTCAAAAATTTCAAGATAATTTTATTTTAATAACAGAAAGGTATTGAATGAGATCGTGCAATCTCAAATGCTACAGTTGTAATGAGCTCTAATAGCAGTCAATCATATATAGAAGGGAAAAAAATTCATTACCTATTGTATGATTTACTAGACAGTGGTATAAACTTTGCATTAAATTTTTGAAAGCAAGACATTTCATTTCTGGTCGAAAAATTTTCAAAGTCCATTTTCTCCATCCGTGTGACATGAAAATAATGAACTGCATGAGCAAGGGTTTCTGTTTAATGTGTTTAGTCATTAGATAAGAACGGAAAAAGTTGCCATTTTAGAACTTTATTCTATACCGTATAGACTATGAAAATGGCCTAATAGTAGACAATGAACTGCGGCAGTTCCTGAAGTTTAGAATCGAAAACATAAGGTCACAAAGAATTCAAAAAATGATTACTGGCATTAAGTTATTAAATGTTAGAATAAAAGCCTATAAAATGCCTATCGTAATTAGATAGAAGATTAATAAATTTGTTTCTTTAATTTAAAACTACGATACTATTCAACATATTAATACAATTCATAGCCAAGATCGGCAGATATCATTTATGATCTCAATTGTTATGGAAGGCTAGAATAAAATATCAGAAAAAGGCACAAAAATCAGTATTGTAAAGGAAAGCATTTATCCAAGAAATAATTTCAGTTGAGTCTATAATATCAATTGGATAATTCAACTATGAATCGATTCTAATTTCAAGCTTGAAAAATCGTTTATAAAGGATAACTAACTTTTAAAATATTTCACGAGAAATGGGCATGTAAGAAAGAGAAAAGTAAGAACAACCGGTTTAGGGCGATATAACAAGAAAATAAAGAAATAAAAAAAAATAAGAACTTTTAGTGAAAGTGTAAGAGTCCGTAAAAAGATGTTAATTAAACATTTCAAAATAATGTTATAAGAATCTAATATTTAAAAATTCCACTACGTTGGTAGGAATACTTGGGACGATATTTTCGCAGAGTCATTGAAAAAACTCTTCAAAATTTTAAAAACGATTTTGAAACTGAAACTATTTTCTTAGTCAAGATCGCAAAAGTTTTCTAAAGTCAGTCCAATTGCTTTATATCGATATCTAATGCATCCTACACATTTTTAAGTGTCGTTATTTAGATCAGCTACAATTTTGGGCAGGGTTAGATAATTGTAATATAATTTACTAAAAATAAACTACCAGACTAGTAGTATTCAGTCTCCAACCTTGCATATGTATCCCAAAAGACAAGAATTTAATATCTCTTTGTATAAAGTTGGATACTCCAGAAATCTTAAAGAAAATATGGCCAATAGTTCATGACTGTTAATGATATGATACAGTAGAAATCTAATTTTAAGAAGCATACCAACGCCACTTGCTCCAAGATGGATTATCACCTAAAGAGACCTATCTCAACGAAATAATTTGGCAATATACTGCTACTACGATACTTAAATCAGTCGATTGTAACAAAATATTTGAGGGACCCATACAATTCTCCATTCATTTATTAAACATCTAATAAAGGTAAATTAAAACTGCCAGTTTTCAATAAACACTTCAGATAATATAATTCATAAGATACCAAGGACAACTTTACCATATTCATAAGAACTTAGAGTATAATCAATATCGATCAATTATAGGCGATAGGCTAGTGATATCATAGACCTTAAATTATAACCTTGGCCATCCAGAAGCCAGTGCTTCTGCTATCACTTAAATTTATACTATCTCATACCCATTTTCAAAGGTCCATACATTAGTAGTTATGCTCTGTACATACATCAAACTATATTCTTTTAAATTATAGTAGCAAAATGATCAATCTGACTGCAATTCATCGATTTCTCTCTTAGGTATAGAACTTGCCCGCCTAATAATGCTTCTAACTTCACGGAAGAGGAGATACCTAAACCAAATATAGTAATTGACCTTACCACCCACATTAACTCCAGTGCCTGTAAGTAAAATATGAAGGTTGTACTCGTATTATAGATTTATTCTACTTTTCAAGACACGGTATATGATAATTAATGAGTAATAGCAGTTACTGTACCCGTAGAAAATGATCAGTTTTAGAGTTTAGAATTTGGTTATGATAGTAATTTTAGTTCGATATTCATGCTATTAGCATATATTATACGTCAATTTATAATATTAATTTTCCTTTTATGACTTGATCATACAGCGGTTATTACAGTATGTAATAATCCATTAATTAAGGATAGTCAATATAACACTTGTCGTGCACCTTGTACTTGGTCAGAAGGAATGGATTCAGTCCAAAGAACTAAAGATGTCATCGTTGGAATATTTTCAATCGTATCCATAGTCATTGGTATATTTGCAATTTTAGTCCGAGCGACAGATGCTAAATCGTAAGTAACCTATAATGCATTCTTTTACCGTTTCTGATAACCTTGTGATTTTTAACAATCATTTTAATTTCAGATATAAAATTCCAAATGTAATCATAATGTATGCCATATTAGCTATGATTGGATTCGGTAAGAAATTCTTATTGTTTAAAAATTAATTGCAGTAATATTTAAATCACATAAAATAAATTGCAACATTTTAGATAGAAAATAGAGTAAAGTGATGATAATCTAAATATATTTACTCCATAATCTCTGGTAGATTAGAAGTGATCATAGCTTTATAGCCTACGAGACGCAATTGATTATCCGAGTACTATTAGCGATAAGATTTCTATGCTTCTATCATCTACCAGGTGTAACTTTGTTATTACCAGTGGCTGTCGGTAAGGAAAGATTCTTTTGCGAATATCCATTTTATAAACCATTGTATGGGATCGATAGCGGCTGGTGTACCATACAAGGTATAAAAATAAATAGTTGAATAATTCATTTACCAACGGAGCTTTTAGAATTCTGGCATAATATTCGTTATGTAATTACCCAATCAATTAATACCTACGATGTATCATTTTGTTGATAAAGTACAAGACATAATTGTAAGCGTTACGTAATTTCACTACGATAAATTTGGATCATTCTCAATGTAATAGAAAGTGTTACTAATCTACTAGCGTTGGATAAGCAGTCAGTAACGAAATTCTGTCTTATCTCTGGTACCTAGATTAATTAGATGATATTCTTCGTCTATACAAAATAGCTCATTCTTCTAATAGTTCATAACCTAAACCTTTCTTTATGAAAATCATGGTCATAAAATTCAACTTTAGTGATAGCCCAATTATTTTCGTGATAGTATCTACGGGTATTCACGTTATCGTGCTATATCATCGTTAGTATTTTAAATTTCTATAGAAAGATCGCTTAGTAAAACGATCTCAATAGCTAAAAATTATCTCCAATTAGACCTTGCATAACTCTTTAGACCATAGGATACCATTTCAATAGCGCTTATGCTCATGTTATCCTTTATATCAGACACTAATCATATTTTGAAATAAGGTTTATCTAATTTATCTGTCATTTATTATTATATAATTATCCGCTTTTCTTGTAGGAGTATTTGGTCATTTCTTTTATTTAGCATTACATCTATATTGGATGTATTACATCATGAACGGCTACTTGATAATAGCGGATGATAAACAAATGGAGTATAGGAGTCGACTACATGCAGCTCAGTTTGCGTCTGGGATCTTTATTCCATTTGGATGTTTATTTATTTGCCTGCTACATCCAAGCCTCTATCATACCCGTTCAACGCATGCAATATTGTGTACACCATTTAATAAGGATTTATTTTATTTTACATACTTATTGCCACATCAACTTAGCCTGGGCTGCAGTGTTACATTCACAATGCTTATCATCCGGCTACTTTACCAGGTTAACTAATTACTGTTAATCTATTAGTGAGATTTTATAAGTGTGCCCTTATCTTTAACCATGATGTAGCAATATGTACTTTTATAGATACAAAAAAAGGGTAGTTAAAATGCACTTAAGCATTTGCAGAAACTTAGTTTAAGTATAATTTAATACGCAGCAATCTAAATTTGCTTATTTCTTATTATAGAATCAGAAAAATTATGATATGTCCCCGGAAGTTGGTAGTAATTCTAGAGCTAATAGTCCGGCTAAAGAAGACAAATCAATCGCAAATAAGCTGCCTAAACATTTTATGCCATTCATCTGCTATTATTTAGCTATAAGCATTATGGGAATGGTGGTATTAACTATGGATCAATCAAATAGCGCCAATTATCAATATGGCCTATTTCAATATTTTACGTGTCTAAAGACTTGCCAAAGTAAATTATGTACTAAATTCCGTGATATAAGTGCCTCGATGGAAGGGATTTTGACTCTTGTAAAAAGTGTCTATTACAGTTTATTAGTGAGCTCGACCATTTTATTTATCATTCCTACTAAAGAATTTAGCAATTGTTACATCATATTCAAACATAGAATCACATGCCAAGAAATAGAAACTGAAGATGGCACATTGGCTAACAGGGCGAAAGCTAATAGTAGTATCTCCAATGTTGATCAAAATTGTAGCAAAAATAGTCAGGCTGAGCCTCGAAATTCATCCACTCAAGTTCACATAAAAGCATCAGTTATGATCTAACCAATGCAAAATCTCGATCATTCATAGACATAAAATGAAAGTTTTATTAAATCAACCGATAAATTTAGAATTGACCTAAGCCATTGCCATTTTAAAGTGTGTTCATCAGCATACCATACCAAACATAAAATAAAAGTTTATTATAAAAAATCACGTTGCATAACCGAGAATACTCGTATATAATTAATTCTGCTATCGGTTTGAAATCAAAAGATTTTGCTATTATAAGTGTCTATGTGCGTATTGTAAAAATACGTTAATCATAATGCATTTGCCAGCTTAATTTTTAATGTACATAATTTAGATACATGATAATTTTTCAACGAATGAATTTTCAACATTATCTTCCCTACTACTACATTAAACTGTTACTTATTGGAATACATCATTTGCATGTACAAAATGGTAATTTTGTGTACTACAACCAAGCGATAATTGCTTTCTAATTATTTCGTATAGGAGAAATAATCTAAATTCTTATTCGCTAATAACAATACTTATCGATAGGCTAATTTCCAATCTATTCAACCATCAGAAATAATTACCATTTTTATCTTAATCAAAATATGAATCAGCCTGAACATTTTTACTGCTAGATTATTAATAATGTACATTATGTATTACTGCTTAGGTTAGGAGTGTTAATGAAATATTTACTATATTTGTGAAACTAATTCAAATGAGATCGTGGCTAATTATACGGTCACGTAAGAAACTTTAATGTAAATGCAATAAAGGTATATTAATATAAAGTTACCTGTGTGTGCATAGCAGTTTTTAACAACATATAATCTAGCCTTAGTAGGTCATGCAATAAAAATTGCATTCTATAGAAATACTAATTGCTACACTAAGAGATATTGATATACCTATTGGGACTGTTAACAAACTCTATTTTTGTATTAGATTGACATTAAGAGAGTTACTGTAGCACATTTCAATGGGTACATAAAATTGCTAGCAGTAGCGTATAGTATATTTATTGCAATGTTTGAAACTCATCAAAGCTTAGGGTGCTAATGATTAGCGTAATTTAAAATTTTATAATGTAATATTTACATTATAAATGAAATAATAAATGGCACTATCAATGAACTGGAATCACTTTACCAGCATTAACAAGAAACAATGTCAGAAATTAGCATTTCGATGGTATAAGATGCTTAAATATGCTATTATACAGTCCTGTAATAATTATTTCTTTATAAAACATGCTATATTTATCGTACCTGAACCCATACTATATAGTACCTTAAGAATACTTATAATAAATGCTTTTATTTTTTATAGTTGATAAAAAATAACATGTAGTAAATTCAGTTATTACTATAGTTTAAACAGTATTTCGTATGAAGAATTTAAGATTATGAAGAGATTGCTTGAAGACATGGAAAGCCTTCAAATAATTTCATGCGTAAATATCTCATATTATAAACTCGTTTTAAGACTTGAAATATAGCATTATAGTATATTTGCACTATAGAAAAAATAAATATTTTGTTATACATATTGATAAAAGATGATCGACATTACCGTCAAAGTTCATTCGAAAGATTTACAATTAGTTAATCACTAGCGTGCGTTGACGAAACTTATAAAATTATAAGTTGCGTTAAAGTTGTCCTGCTTAGTAGGATAAGGCGTACAGACGTATTTATAATTATGGCACAAATTAGCGGGGTTGGCTTAATTTGAGTGTTGTATTGTCAAAGATGAAAATCAAATAGAGTAGCTGATATTTATTTCAGTCCTTGAAAAGATATCTAATGTGAAGTATTATATAGTACCGTAAAAGTTGAACTTTCTCAACTTCTCATAGTATATCATGAATTTTATGAAAAACAGTGTCTAGTCGATGCTAATTTTCGTAACTCGCTTTCTCCTTTAATTAATCCTTTAGCGTACAAAATCTAAATAAAAATTTGTGTTGGGTTTTCAGTTTGTATTTAATCGTCTTGCCACTCGATCAAGGAAAGCACCATGAGCGGAAAAGCTCGGATAATATGGCTAAAATTGTATTAAAACATGTATTACATATTAAAACCTTCGATACCAATAAAAAATACCAATTAGACGGGCGAAATAAAGTATTTTGTCTTACATCTTGTTTTAAAATTAGCTTAGGATCCCACTTGGTTCGGTTTGGGAATGTGAAACAGAAATTTTTTGAACTATCAAATGTTCTCGAAGTCTTTGCTGGTCTACTATTATCGTAATCTATTTCAGGTGAAAGATTGCATAAATAAGATATCAGATTAACAGCATTAACTAGGAGTATGTCAGCTAACATGATGTAAAACCGATTTTTGATCAATAGTACCTTCATATAATTTATAGACGCCTTCTGATTTTATGTGGAGACCACCGGGATCATGTTCATACGCCGTCGCGAATCGATTTAAACCAAGTTTTTTTATATCTGCCAACTTTAATTAATTTTGAATAATAGAATAAGATTAATTAATTAATTATAGATAATTTCTAATTGTTAATAATGTTATAATGCTAACAAAATTGCAAGTCAATCAAAAAGTCATTATAAATCAGTACATCTCATTGTATAAGGTTTAGAAATGCTCACGAGATCATTTTGTAAAAAATGAAATTATTAGTAAACCTGCCCTAAATTTATTTTAAATAAGTAAATGGAGTCATTTCTTCTTATTATCTCAATAGAAATTTGACTTGTCGCATAGATTGAAGATGAGAATTCGCTACAGTAAATATTTAGACTTAATGCTAGCTTAATGTAGTTTATATCATCAACATATCTTGTATATATCATATTGGTTGTACGATAAGAACCATATAAATGTATTACATAAGGAAGTGAATAAATGGCATTAATGTAACTCTTAGCTAGGTTAGTACCTTCCTAAATTCATGAGGCTTTGGATCGGTAAATTCTGGATGATTTGGATACTCTCGTCGAGCATGGTCGATCTTAGCTTGAAATGAGCTTGAAAGATGATGTGATATAACAAATCTTGGTTCTTTGCGACCAGTTTTTACTACTGTTGGTAAATGATCATCTAGATGCTTTTTGACAAACGTACTACTAGAAGATTGTTTCGGACTATCTTTTCTATTCGACTTGCTCGTGTTCCTGAAAGATTTTGAAGCATAAAGTGGATAACTAAAATCAGGTGGTGGTTTATTCCAAATATTTCCATATCTTTCCGACTCAAACTGTTGACGTCTGAGATGGGCAATATTTGCATCCCTTTTAACTTGCTGTAACTGCCTTGTAGCTTGAAAGCGAATTCTTGCTTGAAAGCCAAATGGTATATCAGAATAGTTTGTTTGAGAATTTTCTGATGCTGACATGCCGATAACTGAGTTTGATTACAGTTAATAAGAATGGGCTATAAAATACTGAATGTCTACTATACTATAGATATTTTATTTATCACTAATTAATGGGCGCTTGCATAAATTCTAGATTATTATAGATTAACCGCCATTACTTTGGCTAAACCCTTTCAGTTGTAGCTGAAAACAAGCTTCAAGTTTAGATCAATCCAATCGTTGAATATTGAACTTAACTTTATTATCCTGATAAACCAGTTGGCCAATGGATAAAGATGTTACAGATATACCGTTATTGCTGTAACAAATTCAGGTAGTTAACTATTGGATTACGTTAGACAGTATCTAAAAATTTTTCGTCTCCACCGGATGGCTTTAATAGTGTAATAGTAATTGTAGAACAAGATTAACCAAAACTTAACACTTTATTTCATAATAACGCTCTTGGTACTGCTATCAATCAACCGTTAACCTAATGATTGGCATACATCGCCACTGGAAGCAACAAGTTTATCCGCTACACCGTTGCTAAGCAACAGCTCGAGACTAAATGAATTATTAACAATGTCATAGATTGCCTCAAGCTGCCCACCATATCCCATATAATCCCTATAGGAAATTTAGATTGTACGCCAAGTATGACGTAGGAAGATTGGACTAAAAGTACAATTAAATTAAGCCAAGCATGCTCAGAAAACCATCCAAAAGTAAGTTGAAAACACATCGATTAGTATGGTAAAATGGCTAGACGGGTAGTGATTACTGACTGATTAGTACTAACGATGAACTTACTGTCAAGTTTTTGTAGCGTGTAAAGTATGCTGTAGCATCTATCTGCATAGCCTCTGAGATTTCATGTATACTATTTAATACTAGACTGTATCAGGGACTTCTACGTCTAAATTCTTGTTTTAGAAGCTCCTAACTGGGTTTAGAACCTTGTCTATGGGCTGTACTATTTTATACAAATAGGCCTTTGCTATGGGGCTTACAAGGTTATCAATAACCGTGGCATTGGTAGATCACGGTATTTACATTACAGCAGATAATGATTCTTATTATTATGTCGTAGACTTTAAAGCCATTTAAAAGTAAGTTAAAAACACACCGATTAATAAGGTAAAATAGCTAGATGCTTAGTAATTAATACCATCGATGATCATACTATCAAGTTTCTGTAGTGCCATGGTCTACATCGACATAAGACCATGGACAGAGCCTCTAACATTTCAGTTGTAGTATTTAATACATAATTTTGTTTAGAACCTTGCCTATGGACTGTACTGTTTTGAACAAGTAAGTCTTTGTTATGGCACTAACAAAGTGGCCAATTGCCGCAACATCGGTAGATCACCGTATTTGCAGTACAGTATAGCAGCTACTGATCCTTAAAAAGTGTTTTAGTTCTATCAATGATCTTACTGTCAAATTTCTGTACTATATTAAGTGTGCTATGGTCTGCATATATACATAGCTTTTAAGATTTCAGTTATACTATTTAATACTAAACTATATTTAGAACTTTGTCTATGTACTGATTTATAAATAGGTCTTTGTTATGAGGCTAACAAGACCACCAATAAGCATAGTATTAGTAGATCACGATATTTACAGTACTGTAGTTAATGATGATCATTATTATTATTATGTCGCAGGCTTACAGCACAATGTTGGTACAGTGTCTAGTCGGTCTGGATAACTCTAGTCCATAGGTTACAAAGTCATCGCTTCATGTGAGTACTGTGTTTGAAACGAATAGTATGAGTATACTAGGTAGCAGGATAGAGCTATCAATAAGATCAATTATACGGTGTATTTCCAATGAAACACGCTTTGACAAGAACAAATCGATTGAGATTATAAATTTATTTATTAATTGGTTGAACTTAAATTAATCTTTACAGCCTGATTACAGCTTGAATACATAAATTCTCATGGCTTCGGTAATGGTCTCGGATTTTATGAACATTATTATCAACTGTGCTGAGAAAGCTGCCGTTCTAGCCCGGGTAGTGCGATCGGAAGCGATCATGTTGAAATTACTTATTGAAGAGAAGACGGATAAAAACTGCAAAAACGATCGTTTTGTACATGATTTTAAAACATTAGTGGACGTATTGATTCAAGAAATGGTAAAGCATGAAATTGCAGCAAAGGTAGTGTACTTATAATAGTAAAGATTATGCTACGTTAAGAGTGTATGTGCAATTATATTTAATCTACGGTTTATTTTTATATTATGACAACTTCCTATGAACGAAAAACTTATTCATTACACCATCAGTCCATTTATTCACTGCACTAATGTATCGTGTTATACTCGTACCTGTATTCTTCCTAGATAGGCAATAGACTTTACAATATATTATACTGCATAGTCGCAACGTACATCTCTGGTATAATTCAATATAAATACTTTCTAATCACGTTCATAAATAACAGCATCAGTATTCTTATGCATTATTGTTCCTTCACAATACTTTGATCGGATACTCGGACGAGACATCAATAAGTAGACATGAGAGTCGATAGATGCTGTATGGCAGCGATTAGTTCTATTGCACTCGTAGCATTCGTGAAACTTTAAATCGGTTCAGAAATTGGATATGTACAATGGGCTGCTTTTCTTTAGAGCACCTAAAACGGAAAAGATCTTGCTGTAGAAATCTCAGTCAATCAGCCATTTAAGAATATAGTAGAAGCTATCTGTCTACTTATGGTTATATCTGAATAGTACACTATACCTTCACGAAATGAACACAACTTAGCGAAAGACTTCTTATTTTAAAATATATAAACTTTAATCAATGTTTTATTTTTATTGTTTTATCGATTCACGGTTCAAATCTTTTAATGTACCGTTAAAATAGTAAAATATTACATCCCTTTAATGAGCGAAGGTAAGTGTATACTTTATATGGATGAGAAAGGTACAGCTTAAGTATTCATTCTCTACATTTATTTTTTTCTTAAACGGTAGTGTATCAACTTTAATTGAAACTCATAATACGCTGGTAAACGTTTCTGGAGATGATAATTTAATCCTAAATGATGACTAATAAATAATGTAACAAATATCATAATGAATATTAAACTCTATATTTTACGTTACCAAACTAATAGTTAGCATCTGCAGGCTATGTAAGTGGATGAAATGGTAGGCCTGAGCTGTAAATTGTACTTGTATTTATGAATAATTTTACAATATTCGACCATACACTAAATAAAGTGCTAATCGTACTAAAAGAATATCTGAAATCTATAAAGATATAGTTGAAAGTTACCCAATCAGCTTGCTTAATTCCTAAATCTCTACCAGGTTGGTTAGTTGCAGAAAAGTCGTGATCGAAAATATCTTTCTGCTTCCTTAATAGTTTCCCTGTCTGACTGGTTTTGTACATGGAGAGGAAGATAATACATTTACAAATGCTATTGGTGAATCCGTCATAATTGAAATTAAATCTACCGCTCAGGAAACAGCGAACGTATTACGTAGAGTATTAAATAACAACGAAAAGGCAAGTCAACTGTTGGCTGAAATCATACATGGTGATATCCAGTGTCAGAATAACGAACATATTTTCAATAAAGACGACACTATCAATATTGATAATTTCGGAATTTGGATTGATCCATTGGGTACAGTAGATAACTGCTAATTGAAGCTTAATTCTTTCATACAATATGATATATTTTGTTTTCCTTTTTGTACGTATCATTAAGAATTAACCTTATACATATAATACCATACATTATCCAATATCGAAACTTTTAAATGAGACTAAGATTTAATCTTCTGTATTAATATCATTATAAATAGATGGTACAAATGAATATATTAGCCAAAATGTTGTTGAAGCCCAGAATGGTATTTATTCAAAAGGCTTACAGTGTGTTACTGTCCTGATCGGAATTTATCATCGAACAAGTGGATCACCAATTGCAGGTGTTATCAATCAGCCTTTCCATCAAGTTTTACCTAATGGACAATGGCAAGGCAGATCGATTTGGGCTCTGTGCTACAACGGCATGAATTTCAATTCAAATTTACACTTAAAAACGGAAAAAGATGTTCCAAAAGAACATAATATTAAGAAGTATACGGTTCTATTAAGTGGAAGTGAATCTAAAACTGTATTACAGCAATTAAATCGTGACGACATAAGTATCCGTAGGGCCAGCGGTGCAGGCTATAAATTACTTTGCGTAATTGATGATCTTGCTGATGCTTATGTTTTATCTAAAGGTTCTACATATAAATGGGATACATGTGCACCTCATGCTATTTTACTTTCAATGAAAGGGTCTATAATTAACATGGAGAACGCAGATGAATCTACTCAAATTGTCTATAATCAAATGGATCCATCAAGCACGAAATGGAACAACAGCAAGGGAATAATTGCTTTTAAAAAACTTCAGATATTGGAATATTTGAAATCTATCTTATCTTGAATCAATATGGAAAGTCCGAATAATTTAACTGAAATTCTCGCAACATCTGAGTGAAATGCGAAATACTAATCTCTATTATTTAGTTGTCTACTCATGCTGTTATGTTAAGTAAATTTGTAATAATATTTAATTGGTTATTAAACTCAAGATTGGATCTGCAAAACTTTAAACAGTTCAACTGTTGCATGGCCATAAATTTTTACAGTATCTCTCAAAATATATCACAACGCATTTGTATATAGTATTTAGTTAAGAAATCATACTTTAGTGCAGCTATTGCACTTACGGATAAATATAATTTCATGATGTATTGGATGAGGATATCGTTATTTGTATGTTTCAGGATTGAAAGATAGACTCTTCCTATTGAAAATCTATTTTATAATCATGATAATAATTAATATTACTACCATTAAATCTCAGATTATAGAATAAAGATCTTAGTAACAGTACAATATTATTTGTCAAACGAAATATTAAATTGTTAGGTTAGGTGGATATCAATAAATTATCTAAGCTTTGGTATGCGAGTTTACGAAACGTCTTTAGAAGATTGATATACGCATTGGATAGCAAAGTTTGGTTAAAATTGTAGATAATATTCGATCTCCATGATATTTACCTGAATATATTCATATGTTCGGAAGGCTATTAGCGAACGTGGTGTGATAGTGAATCGTACAGAGCTGTACCTTTTCCTTCTTTATCGTTTTAGCTTTCGTTTTAACAAAAATATGTTTATAAAAAATATCATTTTAAAAATTAAGGAGTTCAGTAATAATGACGATAGAGCAAATAAATCTCCGCTGGATACATTCGATGCAAAAGTAAATATTTTTAATCTATGGATCATAAATTATTTGCCTTACTGATAAGAGATATAAAGAATTACTTTAAAAACATTTTTTAGACGTAATTACTGAAAAATTGAATCCAATTACTAAATTCTATACAATACCTCACGTACTTATAATAAAATATCTATGTCATTGTGGCAATACGCTCGTATCTTCAATTTATAAGAGTAAATAGAGAGAACTAGGCATACACCACTCTAGTGAGCTACGAAATCCTTTCCCTGAGGCTACATTAAAGAGATAGAAAAGGCTAATTCTTTGGTCTAATTCATTTGTTGAATGTTTGTATGGCGGACTAAAAGTTATAATATGATGAACTTTAAATCTACGCCTTGATGTATACTATGTCAATAAGGCAGAGTTAATCTGAAGCTCCCTAGGAATTAAGGGTTAACCTATGTTTGAACCCTATCCTGCCTGATTCACTGATACGCTTTAATCTAGTACAGAGTAAGATGCATTTGATGCTTCTCGAATGATTCCAAGAGCGGCCCATTTTTATTGAACCGTAGCCATTTCTCTTAATTTATCATTTACCAAATAGACTCCGTTTTCAGGTTATTCTAAATTTTGTGCAATGTATCATAAACATTGAGTCACACAAATTCATTGTGCTTTAAAGAATTCACACGTGCGCGTATTTATACAGCATCTATATGATGATAATTAATTAATTATTGACATACTGTATACACTTTACACTTGCAATTTAATAAATATACATAACGCCATATTGGTAAGTTAGAACACCAGTCGAGTCGTTCATAACAGTAGTACAAGATATTTTACATAATCATTTCAATAGGTACAAGATCGCCCAGACTATAGTCTTGTTGTTGCTCATAAGTAATTTAACTGCTTTTACTTGGACATAAGTATTTAGATGGCTTTAATGGCCTTAATTAATTGTTACGAGTGCGTATACTGTTAAGAAGATATAAAGTCAAATGCTCAATATCTACTAAGATACTTACAAATATTAATTCCAAGGATTAGAAATTTCATAAAATTTATTGACTTTATAAAAGTCAATATATTAGGATGGGTATTCGAAAGTGAATAGCTACGATGTATTTACCTTTATTAAGTCATAAATTATGGATGGAGGTACTACCAAGTCTGATAACGGTAAACTAAGACAATTTGGAATATGGGTCAAGAAATGATGGTAGTGAATTAGTTGTCATGTCATTAAAGCTAGTGCAATGCAATTAATTGTTTCTTTTGAGTAAGATAGTTTGATGCTATAAATTATACGAAGGCACTAATATATGCATATCAACCTCTGAAAGTAACCCTTGTCATCACACGATTCATCTGAAAAAGAGCAGGTACTTAATTCATGCGCATTGCTGGATTTAATTCTATAAGGTTGGAATATTCTATAAATTTCAGCATCTAACCTTACATATCTAGGCGTACTCTATCTTACATAATTATGATGTTAGCATAATTACCAATACAACACATATTCAAATTAGCTTCCGTTACTTTTTGAAATGTAATATATTCATCTGAATAGAAAACACTTAATTATTAATCTATAAATCGATTCTGTAAGAAAATATTTAGTTGACCAGCTGTAGCACTTAAATTATTCGTTTATTGTCAGAGTCCTTAAAGAAAGAAATGATCTAAACTGTTAAAATTTGAATTTGAGGCTGTATATAATCCTTTGTCGATGGTACTATTAAGTATTCACCACCGATACTGGCTTATGTAGGATTCTGATCTGATTATTGCCTCGCATCTTACAATGGATAGTTGTTCAAATACTTAAAATGAATCGATTACTATAATTAATTATAGTACATATGGAATACTATGACTCCAAGGGATAGTCAAGTAGGAAATTTTATCGCATTTAAAGATTTTATTTATGATTTGGCCCGAGGTAATTAATATTTAATTTTGAGTTCAAATGTCACCACAATAGTCCTCATCAAGTTTTCAGCGTTTGAGTTCAGTTTCAATATTGGTAATGGTTCCGGGATGCCTTATTTAAAATTAAATATAAACGTGAGTGATACTTACAATATTGCCCTTTGAAATACCTAATTATCATAATCAAATTTGAGTACTACCTATATCAAATAATTACACAAGCAGTATTTATAAAGTGTAGCGATGGAATATTTACGTTATTTTTTATTATTAATTATTAGTAGTAACCTACTAGAATATGGTAACGTGTTCATTAAGACAGCAGTCGCAAAATGTAAAGAAAAAGTTAAAGAGTCATTGATACTTTTCACGTGGTAAAACGCGGAATGCATTCCCACATTTTGAATAGCATATTCTATTCAGATGTAGTTTAAATATCAATTGCAATTTTTAACGTTCTGCCGATAAATTCCTCCTGTATTATCTACATTTTAGTATCCGTTATATCATCGTCTAAATTTGTAAGTATTTGCATTACTATAAGCGACAGAAGTTAATACGCCACGAAATATAATAATTAAATAAAATGAAAGAGCGCCTTTAAAATTAAAAACGTTGTTCATTTTGAATTCAAAAAATAACGGAAGGGATGCCCAAATATGATTTTTAGAATTTTGTCTATTGTTATGCTGAATTTCAAGTAGAATTAGAAGACTATATTAAAACGTCCTTGATTGGATTACTACTGTTGATTACACTTATGCCTATAGATGCGTAGGCAGAGTGTTTACGATAAAATACCTAAATAAAATATTACTTTTCAGCTACTATAATCTAACAGAAGACAAAATATATCAATTACTGTAAGAATGTTGATACAGAATCAATTATAAACTGCGCTAGAATTGACTAACTTGCAAGTTAGTATCTTGTGCTCTTTGATAGCTTGAAGTATCGTCAACCTTTTTTTTAGAAGTATTCCTGCAAATTTTGTTTTCTACTTTGCAAAATTTCCCTATTTGTGTATGCCTGTACCAATCTCTTTATACGTCTTGTGTGCGTACGTGATCGGAATAATAATAGACTGAATCTAACTCAACAGTTTAGGTCATGGCATCTTGGGTATTTATATCAATTAATCATTTTACATGTCCTTCATCATCAATTGACCACTGAATTATTAACTATACAAGAGACTTACTGTCTAAATTAATTACTAATAAAGAAATTTTACTATTATAATAAAGAACGTGATAACTTTCATGTCAAATAATACTTCATATTAACATTAAGTAGGGCCCATTCTTACCCAAATGAATACTTATTTACGGTAGTTACAGTAATAAAATTTGGTTTTATGTTAAGGAGTAAGCATTGATGCAGTTTATTACTGGATTGATCAGATCAGTCGAGAGTACTTTATTCGTAAAATGCAATGAATGACAGCATATAATAATTATGACTACTCATTGTTGTCTTGAATTATAAACAAGTAAAGTAAGGGTTTATGGAAATTTGATTAGCATTTTAACTAATTAGCAAGACTTACTTGCTAATAATCTTGCATACCAATACTTATTCGCATAGCATATCCATTTTTGAGTGGTTACTTAGATGTTTTTACTACTATTGAAATTAGATACGTTGTGAAACAATACTAATGTAATAAAAATAGATTATTCGATTTCAGATGATTATCGTAGATCATTTTAACTATGATAGTTTACGGATAACATAACCATTTCTTACCTCGTTTTGATGTAATTCTGTGCATTATAGCAATTTAAAATTATGACACATACCTAGGAAAAATTTTTTAAGCCTATACGATTTCACTCCAGCTTGATTTCGTTCTAATATATTGAGATAATTTTACAATTGGATTATTGTAGAATAGCAGCTGTTCTTGAACGGAGAATGGATAATACTACAATTTTACATTTATATTTAATGTTTCTGTAGTTGTATAGCGTGAAAGAGTACATTGGTTGAAAGCAGTTTCTTGTCCACTTTTCTAGGTATTAATTAATACAGCCTGCAATAACTGAATTAATAATTCTAAGAATGGCTATTATTGTATTCTAAATGTTCCTCTTGTACAACCTATGGAAATAACAAAATATTTCGGAATGAGTAAGAAGGAAGTTGTAAAATACTTATTGAAGCTTTCTATGTTTATAATTGTTGACTATATGAACAAGTCGTAGATGGAATAAAAGAACGTATTCGGCACAATGAGTTAAAGAATTGCAATTAGTAAATAATTGCTATGTCGATCTGTCTAAGTTAAATAGAATATACAAATATGATCAATAATTTATAGATTAGTTATCGCTCTAATAATTAAAAGGGAATGCAAATATAATCAAGCTGTTAGAGGTGTCTTTAATATAAAGAAAGATCGAAATAGCAGCATCAGATTCTACCTAAGCTATAGGCTCTACATCAAGTATTTTGTTTTATAAATGATATTAATGCAATTTTCAAAAGGGGCTTGGCAGGTATTGATAGCATTGATTAAATGATAATGCATAGACAAACTTTCAATACGATTGACTAAATACGTTCGGATACGTATTATCATCATATGGATAATACTACATAATTCTCGTCGGAGTAAGTATCATTACCAATCTCAGTTTTGAATAGGTTCTGTAGCTGAAATACACCGTATCTTTTTCTATGAATTTTACTCAAGATTTAATTTATTATTTATTACATGCATGAAAAATTAACACGCGATACATGGATAAATACCGTGATGTATCAATTCTATGACTCTGTTGTATTTCCTTATATCGACCTGCAGGACTAAGATTAAAATAAACGAGTCTAGCAAGTTTATTGATCTTAATTCGATTTTTTTTCTGCATTCCTACCGGCATAAATTCACGAATAAATTACGAATTCAATTAAGAAATTTGTTCAATTCGTTGATATACTTCTATCATAGATAAACATGATTAGTATTAGAGACGACGAGTTTTGTATCAATTAAAAATTGGTAAGCATTGATTCAATATCTTAAGCCATATGCAATAGTGATTCAATTGAATGTATCTGTGCCTTATTGGGAAAATTTACATAATAATGTAGTTCCAGTAATTTCTGATGACAGTCATTTACTGCTATAATTATGTCATAAAAAGTGTATAACAAACTTGAGACGGCGATTCAGAGAAGTTATTGTTTATAAGGTGAAATAATAAAGCAGTAAAACAGCTAGTTCTCCATATCTTTGAATAACTTTACGTGATTTTCATTCCGTACAACTCTTGATATTAATTTTAAATCCAGTCGAAATTTGGGACATAGACTATGTGTTGAAAAGTTTATCCAACGTTAATTACTGTACCTTCATAAGCCGACATTAGCATCAAGAGCTTAAGTAATCTAAATTTTCCTTATTACCCACTACTAGTTAATTAGTGTAACTGGATAGCAAGCTAGTTATTGTACTATTATTCTATGCTATCTCTAAATGGTACGTTGTGTAATAAACTATTGTAACAGTACAGTAAGCCAAAAATAAAAACTTCTTAAAGAAATGAGCTCAATGCTAATTAATATAGAAAGGGGTGATCGCTAGAAATACATTGCATAATAGCTAAGATGAATCATAATGAGGGCGTTCGCTTCAATGACTATTCCAGCAAAAGGTAGAATAGTCGGCAATACTGAATTGATAATTTGTGTCACTAATGACTACGAATTTAGAAAGATCTCTATCCATGGCTACGGTATCTATTACTAAGACAACACAACGATTTTGGTAAATCAAAATCGATATAAATGCCTCTTTTTCATGTCTTCCATCCACTTACTACCATGTTGAAAATAACGGATACGTCATTTTGTGGCATAGACAATGTATTTATAAAGTCAATCACTACCCATTCTCAATTCCGTTTACCCAGACCATTCTACCACAATAAACATCGATTCCCTTCTTTCAATAATCAATGATAAAATTACCATCTGATCTCGGGTATAATTTGACAGGTAACAGGCTTTTATTATAAAATTAATTATGATTGATTTTTTTAATAGACTTTAGTGTTAATAATCTTGCTGTCATTTGCAAATGAATTCTTCTTCCCTCTTGTCCCCGTAAATTGGCTGAAGTGACTTCAATGCTATGACGTTATCGCGAATCAATGTTATCTTGTTATCATGTCTATCACATGATCACTTCCTGTATGTTAAACAAGAAAACGACTGACCTTGAAGCGATTGAATATATTGGCAACAATGTAAAATGCATTGTTCAACATTAGACGATTGACACTTTATCCCGGTCACCCTATCGATTGAGTGAAGACTATAAATAGGGGTGGTAGTATGAAAATCATTCCATAACGCTTCCTTTAGCTTTCGGCCATTGCTCCATTTTCATTGCTCACTTGTCGCCTTCTTCTAGTCATTTTTCACTTCACGGTCCTCCAATTGCCTTGGAACGATTTAAGATCTACGAATTTTCAGCTTTACTGAAGAAAAAACAAGACAATTTCAAAGATTTTCTAGTAAGTAAGTGATAATGGATCCTTACCATGTTATTAATGTTGTGCTAAAAAAATTGAATTAGAACTGCGCAATTTTTCTTTGCGAGCTTTACCTTCTTATTACCTATTGGCAAGAACACAGTTTTAATGGTGATTGCTGAGATATTTCCTTTACATGCGAGGCGATAATTCCACTTTTAGTCCAACATATCTTTCTACTCTATAGAAGCAGCTTAAGAAGCAATAAATGTATTGTATCCAGAACATGATACACTGTGTCCTGCTCGTATTTAATTGCTCCAAGCAGTACGATATGAAATAGGATAGTGCAATCAATCTTTTCGGTGCGGTCTCTTTATTATTGTACAGTCACACGAAAACAAAGCATAGTCTTGCTTTTATAGATTCTTAAAAGACACTGTAACTTTTTCACTTTAATAATTCGCAAAGGAAAGATGTAAAATAATACGGTATGAAAGACGAAGGTGAGATTCTTCAAATAGTATAGGCAACGCTTCCTTTGCTGCTTGCTGCCAATTAGAAGACAGTAGTAGCGCTATTGTTTCCGATAAGAATAGTTCTCTTTAATTGGGGCTGTAATACTTAAAATAATATTGGCTTATTTCTATATTACGTGATATTATCTCAACAGTTCGACTCAATTAGTTATAGGATAATATGGATCACATAAGATATAACTAAATAGAAAAATATATCGAAATTGTTCCATTTTCAATTCTGATACCTATTATAGATAACTTGTATAAGAAATGCAATTAGGGCTTCTATTCTTAAATTAGATGGCTAGTATTGGAACTCGTGACTTGTCAATTACTAACTACAAATTTTTGCAATAATCTTACTGAATAAATTTTTAAATCAGTTATAGATGATATATTTGCTCGATCAAAAAATGGATCGTGCTATCTAAAAGCACCAGCCGTTCAGTTGTATGGTGCTACACTAATTCCTTCATGCTCACTATAATTGAGAACAATTTAGGTAATGCATCGATTTTAAATATGAATGCACGTATGCTCATAGTTGCTGATTTTCACCTCAATAACAACACAAAATAATTTTTGGCAATAGACAGTACTATGCGCTTGTTATTAGATTGTATTGTAATCCATTACAGCTCTTCGAATAGGATACTTACAGAACAATCAAATTAAGTTTATTCTGTTGCAAGTTCGCTTACTAAATACATTAGCAAAGAAAGCATATTACAGTATGATATACGATCTAATACGCATTAGTCGTTACTTTAAAACCGTTTATTCCCTATGACTCTACCAGAATGTTGCCGTATTTTTAGTTTAAAAACTTTATCCTACTATCTATCCATGAATTTAGTTACAAACGAAATTTATGCTAATTTTTTCTGTAAAAGGTGATAGCATTTATCCCTAAAATCTAAGAGTAGCCGAGAGCAAAACTTTAGATAAGCAACACTTTTTCTCCATAATCTATTCTTTCAAAAGTGATGTCTGAGTAAAAAATTGGCAATGAAATTTTCCTGGCGAGTTTCGATTGCGATTTGCAACTATCTCCACATTTGAAATCCATTTTAGCCATACTATATTTAACTTATTTTCAGTTTTTATGTTTTAATTATCGATTGTAATTGTTTTATCTATTTACCATTTTGATCTAACTCCTTCAATTTTATTGTTAGTATTCATAAGAAATAACTTACTAAGATTTTTACAATGTAATTCATTATGCAAGTTTACATCATGGTATTATTTACCAGAAATTTACTGGATGTATTGAATATCCTTTTCTGAATTTTATTGATTCTTTATTTAGCAGAATGCTTTCAACTTTAGAAATTATCAATGCTATCGCTCAGCTATTTATAACTAATTAATATCCCGCTGCAGTATTATATTGTTCACTGTGAAGATTTTATCATCTTTGCTTATAGAATGTAAAGTTGTAAACATATTTTTCTTCTGCGAGAATTGCTTCCGTCACCCATTAATTTTAAAGATGAAGTTTTTCCTACTTTAAAATGATTTCCAGACATAAGGACTAAATGATTTTTATCTTAAATCTGCCTCTTCAGTTCTATATATCGTCGGTATTAGTTACTTACAATGTTATTTTTACGCGGATAAAATAAAGATTGTTAGCAATTATTGCTCCACAATTTGTACTAACTATATACTCTACCCTACAGATGGCTATTAGTATACGTATTTATGATTAAGTCAACAATCAACATTAAGATATATGTTTACAGAATCATTCTATTTTATGATGATCAACCTGCTATATAGTTAACGTCAAATGAATAAATAACAGTATCCCGAAAAATATACAAAGTGCAGGCTCTATTAAAATTCATTTAAAGATGTCCCTTTAATATAATTCATATATTTATATTTTTTACCCTTTCTCTCTTCGCTTTCGCTAATATAAGTGTGAGCCATCGATATTTAATAAATAACTATTTTTAAAATACTGAGTACTGCTAGACACAAAATATTTAAATTTAAATCACCTAATTATTAAGTTACCAGCATTTTATCTCAAATTTACCGCTGTTTTTATACATGTAATATCTGAGTACGATATTTAAAGTCAACTGAAAACGTACTACAGCACAGCATTGCTAATAGGAAGCTTTGCTCATTCCTTGGAGAGTTCCATAGTTTCTTTGAAAATTAATGATTGTTCTTGCTACAGACTGTTTAATGTATCAAAAATTTATTACAGAATTTCATATACTCTCCTATTAATTATTTTAATTACTTATATTTCTTATCTTAAAATATTTCAAATAACTAATTAGAAAATCATAGTAATGAATGACTAAAGCAAATATGTAATCTCGCATTAAAAAATAACGTGAAGTAACATTAAATGGTTCAGTTTATAAAGAGATGTATGAATAGTATTAATAATCTAGGGTTATTTAAGTTCAACTGTCCCATAGAGATAAATAATTTAAATTTCTTATAATATACGCGTATGTACTGAATCATGTGTTATCATAGAAATTTCATTATGCATCATTGGTGCTGCAATAACAATATTGTTGATACTTAAAGCTAAAATTGGTAGATTAAATTTAGCATTACGATATTAAGAAGTATTGATCTAATTTTCATCTAGATCAAAACTTTATTTGCTATGGGAAATAGTGTGGGATGTTTGACTCGTAAATCCCTTAAAGTCGATCCAACGACTCAGCAAGATAGCATCTATGAATGGCAAAAGCATCACGAAATTTTGCGAAAGAGCTGGGAATTAATATGTCAACAAAAGACGGATAATGGCGTTTCAGTTTTTATCAAGTAAGCTGAAAAAAATTTTTTAAGTGTTGCATTAGCATAGGATTTTAGCTCTGTCATGCCTTTTAGTATCTTAATTTTAATACTTTGCAAATGGATATATGACCAAGAGAATATCGTATGCTAGGTTATTAGTATATTTTCAGTTTTGACTATTGTAAGATTTATCTGACAATAAAGATATTTTATTAGCTGTAAATAGATTCAGCACCCCGAAAGCATATTAGATAGTGCTAAATTAGCTTGTAGAAGAAATAATACGCTTTAATCCGTAATTTGCTTGATATACCGCAATTTTGCAATGAGTATTTCTGTTTACTATCTGTTTACAGTTTGTAGTCATTACTATGACCGTCATTTTTCTCTGTATAAATAAACTGTAAGAGGCTACCTATTCCATTTCCCTACATATCAAAGGTCTTTATAACTAAAATACGATCGTAATAGCGATTGCAAAGGTTTATTTCAACCTATGATTTCTTACGATGGTTCTGGTCAACAATTATAGTTTGATCAAATTGTCTCCGGCAACGAAAATCTATTTCCATGGCGTCGATTTTGAGAAAAGAGATAGCTACCTTGCCAAAAATACATTCCTGCGGAATCATGCAGCTCGCTTCATGGAAGCTATTAACGTAATAATTGGGCAAGATATGGATATATTCAGTGTGGAATCTTATTTTCGAGTTGTTGGAAGCAAACATCATAGTTATAATCTAAAGCTTGAACACGTTCAGGTTAGACATATCATAATTTTTAGAGTAGCATAATGTAGCTCGGCGCATAAAATATATGCTATTACGATAGAGATCTGGAGTTTACCAGGAATTGCAATTTTGACTTATCCGTAGTTTCCGATATGTTTTAAATTGTATACATAGGACATTTCTGATGCTTTCCTTGAGATGGCACGAAATGCTTTGAAAAAAAAATTTACGAAAAGTACGGAAGCTGCTTGGAGAAGCTTTTTCCAGATGGTAACTGATGCTATTAAGAATGGCATAATGAAAGCTCAGAACCGAAATTAAATTCACTCCTAGCTACTCTAAAACTGTATTACTCTTTGACGCTTTAAGCAAATAGTCGTTTACTGGGCAATCCATATCAGTCAACTGACTTCATCACTGGATCAATATTGCTTTAAATTTTATAGCTGAGAAGAATCACGAAATTGTAAAAAGTCACGTCATCTAATTCATCCTAAATACATAAATAGGAGTGTTTTGCCAATAACATATTGTCTGGTTGAAAACTGTTTAGAAATAAAGCGTAAATAAATTTTACTACTAGCAACGGGTACTTGGTCTGCGATAACGACGTATAGTAGTGTGCTAGTTAATATAAGAAGTCTAATGCATTTGATATTATATCAAAGTGTTCAATCACTTCAGTGATACATAGGATTCATAATATTATTGCAGTTAAGTGTGTTTTGTCTACACCAGTAACATCAATCCATTCATCGATTAAGAAGAAAGCGCGTCAACAATCGAAAAAGATCTATCGAATGAAACTAATGAATTCTATGATGAAACCCAAGTATCAACCTGCTTTCTCAAAATCTGATGGTTGTTTTGTAACACAGCTGTATCTTGTATGCTATCATCATAGTATGGAAATTTCATAAGATTCTAGGATTTGACTGGAATGAATAAAGACTTCATAAGCAAGCCTACCAGCAATATTTAATCATTGAAATAATTGTCTAGAAAACTTATGAGAATCTTACAATACTCTTTTACCTCGATAAAATCAAATACTTCATTCCTATCTCATTACAGCGTCTTACTCACATATTTTCTTTTGTAATATAATCGTATTGCATGGCTATTGGCCCTTATGTTGGCAATTTGGCATATAATATGAAAAGTACAAGTGCGCTGTTCCATCATACCAGCCTCAATCTACAAATGCTTTGTAAGATTCAATATTGGAATACTAACTGAATGAAACTGCCATAAATGTTCTAGGCTTATTCCTTGATTAAAATCTGGTGGAATAATTTTTTAAATAATTATACCATAATAGATTAACTATTAAAATTACTCTTGGTATTCATCCTACATTTACGATCGAAATTTACTGTAAACAACGTATAATTGATATCAATGATCAGCTATTAATTTCTTTTTCGTCTTTCAACGCTGGAGGCAAATAATTAAATTACTGTGATATCGTAAGACTTACATTTTTTTAATGTTGTATGGCTCAAGTACGTATTCTTATTGAACATGCAAATTTTTCACAGTACTGAACTATACTAGTAAATGAGGTAAGGGAAGACTGACATCACCCAGTTTTTACATTGACAGCCTCTAATTTAATTTACGACTTATCAAATCCTAACTTTTCTATTTCTTTATTTAAAAATTTAGGTTTATTGCTTGAGCTATACCTGTCAAGCTAAATGCTATAGCAAGATTTAATCCTTGCACTACTTGCGAAAATTTTCTGTCTTTATTGCTACGTGTGTATTGTTCTAGTATGCAGTCACGTGGCGAAACAGACCAAACTATAAATACAAATATATGTTAAGGCCACTATATATTTATATATAAAAATAAAATATCTTAATCTATGATCTTGGATTGCCTTTCTACAAGCTTTATTAACTAATATTGATAGTAACAATTTTAAGAAGTTTACTTTGTTAGAGTATTAGCTAACTGGGAAGAATTTAATCGCAGCGTGCATCAATAGTTGGAAGTGATCAAGTCGCTGTCATGATATTTTGCTATGTTAACTGTGTATACGTACATTAAATGCTCAGTTTATTAATATTTTATTTAAAAATACCAGAAATATTCACGCTACGATCGAAAACAACATGAATAAGTGGATAGAAAATTAAAATGTATAGTAGCGGTAAATTATTACATTGAAGATCTAGTGAAATGGGATATCGTTAGCAACTAAACAAACTTAGGTCTTGATCATATCAATTATATACCAATACTAAGAGATAAAATACCACCTATAGTATCAAAATTTTGAAATAGTTACTGTCGTAAAAGGATGTTCGGCTTCATTTCTCGATCTAGTTTCAATAGTCTAATAGTTTATAATCAGCTTTACGTTCATGTCAGTATCATGTCAATATAATAAATATCTGAATTTTTATTTTCGTTTCTCGTTACCTTTGTGCTGGTAGTATCCTGAAGGATTTATCCTATTCAATGTTGATGAAGGTCATCTAAGCTTTATAAAATAGAATGTTATGTAATATAAAGATTTTTACATTTTTATGCATTTCTAGTAAAATTCCACCTGAAGTGTTACGTATCATAATGTGTATTATAAGGATTTGGATTCAGTTTTCATTGTATTCTTCAAAGAAAACGTTAATACTTTACTATAGCAGCTTAAAGCGAAGTAATTTAAAATATAAAATTTTCTACCTAAATACCGTATTTAATTTCAATAGATAAATCCAAAAAATGTTCACCTTCACTTTCCAAGGCCTGCAGTGGAATGCACGTACACTGCAATGCATCCTTACAGTACGTTTTTTTGCTTGGAATACCAAATTTGCTATATTTTTGGCAAATGAGCGTTTCCGAAGTAATTTGTGAGTTTCTGCAGAGCAATCGAACTGCAGGAATTTTGGTTAACCTTTGTTTTAGTAATTAGGGAAAAATAAGTTGCAATTGCGCGATAATTAAATCAAAGTACCTTATAGCTGATTAATCGTATTGTTACAATGTAATTTATCATTTACAAATAGCAGTTGTGTGTTTAGGCTAAATATCAATGTCTGTACTCGAACCATAGCGGCTATGCAATGTCTTCAGTTATAGCATCATAACAGATCTCAATTACTTGGTTATTACTGTGAACAAAAATTCTGACTACATTTGGAATATTATTATTTTAGTACAACTCGAGCAATGAATAGGTTATATCTAGTAGGTATATTGTATAATTGGTTTTTCATAACATCAATAATACTATTTCAAAGATTACTACAATAAAATATCTTAGAATATTATAACAAGAACTTTAGCTTTCTGGAAAACTTTATTTATTACACAAATCTCTTTGTCTCCAAAATACCAATCACATCTCAGTACCTTTGCCTTAATACATACAAACTACTGCGAAAACTACTGCGAAAAGTATTTGTAAAACAGATACTTCCATGATTTAACATTCAAGCGTCCGTCTAATAGAATCTGAAATTCTTAACCTGCAAGTATTTTGGGTTGGACTATAATTATATTCGTTAAAATCTCATTTGGGATTCTAATATATGTTATTTTATCAGCTTGAAATCAGTATCTTCATGGTTTCATTTTTGGCCTCATTTTTCTGAGTCGCCAAAGATAACTATCCATGTGTATGTTTGACCCAGAAACAATACAATTATGACCTTTAAAATAAGAAGTAGATCATACTCATTGCATAATTCAATTGGATTTTTCCTGAATCATGCACACGTATATCGAAATAAAGGAAATTATTTCTTTCAGGTTTATTTCTAAAGAAATTCGTAGTTTTATCAAATTGAACTTTCCTACAAACATTGAATTTTGTCAATATCCTGTTAAATGATGATTGCTTGAAATCACGTACTTTGTATTCGATAAGGACCGTTTCGGAAACGGATATGGTAGCTGATTTTTTAAAAGAGGGTATAACTGTTTTAAAATTTCTTCTAGATAATATTGGCGAAGGCACCGTATTGCTATATAATAAAATCATTCCAGTCAACAAAAAAATTACTTTAGCAAACGAAAATTTTAACTATTTTATGATCAATTGTTTCCTTCGAATTTATTTTTGTTTAATTTCTCAAAGCAATTCATGATATAAAAATCACTTGTAATGGCCAGAAAAAATGATTAATGTCTCATTGCGTGATCCATTGCAAAAATATTAAAATGGGTAATCATCCTATTTTCATCGTATTAATATAGAATTACGTGGCCAATTTATACGTTACAGCCCTTTTCCATATCATTCATCTTTTAAAAAATCGATTTATTGATCTAGACTATTGCTCGTTTTTTTTAAATCTGAGATAAACATTGCTAGATAATAGGTGAAAAGAGTATCATCTGAATTTAATTAGTTTTCATAATTAGATATCAAAACATTTAAATCAAGGTTAGAAATAAATTGTTACATTTAGGCTCGCAGGGTATGTCAAACGAAACTACTTAACCTATATACGAGTATTTTGAATTAATTGAAGGAATCCAATTATTTATCTTTACTATGTTATAACAATGAATGAAATGATTGAATCAATTATATCATTACCACTAGTATTTGGAAAATTAATTTCTAGCATGACTGCATTCTTTAGGTCAGAGCTATATTGGAAAGTTACAATGAGAACAAACTAGGAATAGTTAGTAATGTTAGGGAGTTCATCTGATCATGGCTAGCAAAGCCCAAATGATTATGTCTGCAACCACTAATATAGAGAATGTTAGTAACGTTATATTTAGCTGATTAATATAAACAAATTACAAGTGAAAACCAGCATATTATGATAACAAGGTTGAAGAATAGACTAAATCGTTCGGTTAAATTTTGTAATTTGAGATATCCACTCAATTTTGTTTACGACGGATTAAAGCGTTAAGAAATTAATCTGATGTCACGTCATTTACGACGGCTGAATAGCTTTATCGATCAGCTTAACAGCAAGAAATTGAAATATCAAAACTAGTAATCTAAATTTGATGTCTCTTATCGCAATATCGTCATAATTGTGTTTGTTTATTTTTATGGCAATTGATGCTGAGAAGTGGTCTGCTCGTAGCCTATTCATTCAAAAAGTACAAGCATAGTTCAATTTTGGTATTTCCATATCCTAGTCACGTTTAAGTCTAGTCCTGCGAAAATATATTGTTTACATTTTCAAACAGGAAAACAGTTAGAAATTCAATATCAGTTAATAATATGAACTTTATATAGAGTTCAAGTTTACTACGGTAACTGTAGCCCATGCCCGGAATAAGTTTATTTTTCAAATTTCCGGTAATCGTTGTCCATAATCGTGATGAGACTGAGTGGCGGGATAAAGTATGGTAATAAATAATCAAGCAAAATCTGCTTAAGCGAATAAAGGCTTTAACATTTAAAATGACAAATGTTAGTTAATCGAGAAGACTGTTTCGTTAGTTGAAGTATTGATATTTATCTTTTTTTTTGCGTTTTAGATTACTCTATTCTTAGTAGTTAGTATTCATAACATCATTTCAAATCATTCTTTTGATCCATATAATGAAAAGCAAGAAAAGAGTGCTTACTACGTGAGCTTGTGACCTGCAGTAAATGGGAACGGGGTAGGATTTATACCGGATATATTTAATCGACACTTATTTCTTAGATTATAGATTTTGATGTGATATGACACTGTATGGTATACTGTATCTTTAGGCTTTAACGTTAATGAAATGATGGATTTAGAAAGCGATTATAGTGATAATAATATATCATTTACTTCAGGACAGGTTTAAATATGCTAAATTGGATATAATCTAACTATAATAAACTGGTGCACCAATTCTATTAATTATAAAGCTTTATGGCCGGTGGAAATCGAGTAGATTACACTTTATATTACAAAAGCTATATCGATTTCTTGGGTTTTATTCCTTACGTGCTCACTAAATTTACTTAGCCGCTAACAATATGAACTAAATTTCAGTCATATCAGCTTACAAATATGCGCTATTTTACCTTCTCAGTTAAATTATATATCCATTGATACAAATATCATTTCTTATTTCCGATAGAATATTAAAGACATATTTTCGTCACGATAGCCAAGAAAATACTAAAGATTGATATATAATAGAATGAAATTTGAAAAAGAAATAACCGAATTTTTTTCTTTCTTTCTCATTCAAATAGCATGCAGTAGAATTGATTTAATCAATTTATTGTCAATGTTTGCTGAGGCATTGATATTTATATAATTGCCATTGAATCTGTTATTCTATCCTTTTCACAAACTTAATTAGAAAATTCTTGATACGCAAAAGTCGTCTCTTTGATATACTTAGCAAACTTCAACTCATACAGCTAACATAAAAGCAGAAAATTTTTTATTGATATTATTATTAAATGGGCTATTTTTAATATTGTTACCGTATCATTTTAAAAAGTTTAATTTTTTTACGCATCGTAGTCGAGATATTCACATCGACCGTTTTATTAGATTGTCGTTGTATTCTAACTTAGGACTACCTTTTTATCTAGATCACAGTACTGTAGTTTTTAAATTCATGTGGTTGTCGATAATCATAGTTATCGATTTAGGCTAGTCTGATTTCACTGTTTAATTTTATTCATAATTCATAAATTAAATCTCTCTCAGGCGACTTAGAAGCAAAATATAGATAAAGTTAAACTCATTAAAGTGAATTAGTTCTAAAATTTGACTGATCAACCGAAATGGGAAGCGCTGGCGGTAAATTAATTGCGACTGACAATCATGTAAGAGTCGATCACAGTAATCGCACTCAGCCTTTTACACTCAGTAAAAGGAATAAAAAAATTATTAGACAAACTTGGAAGAAAATTTCAGCTAATAAAATTGAAAATGGTGTCCTTGTCTTTTTCAAGTAAGTTTACTGATTTTTAGCTTTATAGGCTTACAGGAGTTTATTCTTCTGATATATTTAAAATTATTTGACTTACTGCAATATTCAATTCCTAAATAATTTATGGCTGTTTAGCTAGTGTCTTCTTTTTTATTACATGGGTTCCATTTATTATTGCAGTTTGTAGCAGCACAACAATAATTTCAATATATGACTTATTTATTCTCCGTTTATGGTGTTGCGATACAGAATTTGAAGTAATTTAGAATATGTTCTTACCGTGCACCTTACATCTAGCACTGATATTTCATTACTTTTCTATATTATGTACATTTAATATCTTATTCGTCCTTTAGAAATTACTTTTATTCTTGATTTCTTCCTTACTTCAGATTGTATGAAAAGTTTCGCAACTCATTAAAAGTTGGCAACTTATTAATAGAATAGAATTGTCAAAAACTCGTGCAATACTACATTAAAAATAGGCAACAGCTTTTAACGTATCTGTAGAGTCTAAAAATGCGGGGTAGAACCTTTACAATTAGAAATGGAAAAGGTTTGAAGATCCTGTCACAAATCTAGCAACAAATTAAAAACTTAGGATGCTATCACAAAAAATAACGTTTTTAGGATAGAAATAGAGTTAGAACGGGATAGAACAATCCAGACAGCAAAGTCCTCCATTCCTAATTTTAGAGAGAAAATCAAACTTTGTTTCTGATTTTTGTCGTTTGTTTGCCGGCGATACTAGCGCAATGTTAGAAATTTGCGTAATATTAATGGTATTTTTTGAAGTAGAGATTTCTTTTAAGTCTATCAATTTGTGAAGCACCGAGAACTTGTGTTAGGTACACTTAAAATTGCATAAGGAAATGATAAAGAGGATTGGTTCAGAGTAAAATTAATGTATTTTAAAAGGCAATCGATGGAATTATTCTTAAATTGCTTTTATTATAAACTAAACGTTCAGTTATATTTAGTTTACGCTAAATTTAGTAATCCTTTGCTATTTCAATCGTAGCAAGGAGATCAAAATGTAGCAAATGACTTTAATCAGTTTTATGATTGCCCAAACTCTATTATAATACCTTGCTAGGCATATAATGTTGAATCTGTAGTTCCTTATCTGTGCATGGAATTTATAATGCTAATTTCCATGAATATTCACCTTTTAGTACATTCTCGGAGTTTAACTGCCATCTTTCAAAATTCTTTATACACGTATACTGTTCCGCAGGAATATTTTGTACTGTAGAAAAATTTTTGGGCTTTCGATTTCTTAGAAATTCGTCTTGGCAAAATTCAATTATTGAATTAATATGTTAGTTTAACCTGAGCGGATGTTACAGCACATTCAATGAAATATTTGATTGAAAGTCGCTGATCTATTTTGGCTATACAGTACTGTTGTATGTCCTCTATTTATTAGTGATTTCTAATGGCAGCCTATTTACATCTTAAATCTTTAACATTCAATTCGTGCAGTATTTAATTAGTTGCCACAAACTAGCTTCGTGACAAAGATAACGTAAAACAAATCTCTAAATTACTATAGTCTCCGGGATTCAGCATCCCTTAACTACCTCACAAGAATTTAGACGCCTTTACTTCGTTAAAACGACTATATAACTCTTCTTTCATTCAACTATCTGCTGAGCTTAAATACCTTTCGGCAGCAGCTATCATGTATGAGTCGTAACAGTTCATGAAATTTAGCTCATATCGGATAGCCAAATTAATACAGATATTATTCATAATTTTGGACATGTACTGAACGATTCTAGATAATTAGACTATAGTAAGTCTACACACAGAATTATTTATAGTATCATCTATAATTGAATATCTTCAGGCTATTCATCACAAGCGTTACAAGATATAACATTATAATCAATTAATATTAGTTACCTTATGAGAATTCTTATTACAATACAGCATAATTTACTGTAACAAAATAATAACTAGCGTAGTTCTTACTGTAAGTCATTATTAGTTTTCTCCATATATAAATGTTAAACACTAAATTTAGTCATTTACTCTTCACGGTAGTTCGTACTGTGACAATTACCCTCATTGAAATTGCAGTAAGGATGCTTATAAAGATCCGACTTCAGTTTGGTATCCAACCTAAAGATCACAAAAATTAAGTCGAAATCATATTTCTTAAATCAATACATAGACTTAAAAATGTAATATATTTCTATAGAAAGGAGTAGTTTGTACTAGTAGAATATAAATAAAACTGCCGAGCCCTATATAACGATGGAAATGCTAATTTTTAAATATTACACGTTGATTTCTCTATTATGATCAAAAGTGCAATTGTTGATTATTTTCCTTTATCCCTAATAATGAATGTAGCGCTAGACTTATTTATACGTTAATAATAACTATTCTTAAGCACAAAAATTTTACATAAAGGCTCAATATTCGTTATAGCTAGCAATCTTAAACAGAGTATTAGACCTTTTAATGGTAGTCATTTCGATAAATTCGGGTATTAAACAATAAGGATGACCGGAATCTGATTGCTGCTTGCTTACATTGTCTTGCATTAGTAGGTGTAAATGATCATTATTAGAGTAAGCGAAATCAGAATTCTAGTTGAGATTTTTGGTTAAGCAGTCCTGAATGTTAAGGAGCGGTTATAACAATTTTAGTACTCTACTTGGTTGTATATTGCAGCGATTTAATTATCATATTATGCAAAAAAATGAAAACTCTTTATGAAATCGTCTGCTTGTAATCAATGAGATTTCAATTTTATTTATGTTATATTGTCATTTCCGTATCTATAAAATCGCTTGCGCTGCATTTATAGAATCACTCAGCAGTTTAAAATATGGATTATAACATACATAATCATAGCATAATCGCTGCCAGTATAACCTAATCTTCATTATTTGAGGGGAAAAAAGATCGAGAAATCTGTCTTTATTCGTGAATAGCATTTGCTCTTTAGCTAAGATAGAAAAAATGAACGCTATAAAATTTAATTATTCATTCTTACAGGCTATTTCAAATTATTCCTGACGCCAAGCAATATTTTACTTCAGTGGAATTTTTCAACGATATGAAAGATTTGATAAAGGATCCACTCGTTCGAAGTCATGGCCTACGTTTCATGAAAGCCATTGAGACCATGCTAGAGATAGAATTTGATTCAAATGGTTGCATTTTCTTATTTAGCGCTATTGGTAACAGACATTGCAGCTATGGAATTGAAGCAGATTACTTAGATGTAAGCTATCAAACTGAATCAAAAGCTTATTTACAACTATTCTTAAATTTTAAATCGTTTTAAGTTCAGACGAATTAAATTCATTAACAGTTTCAACTACCATATTATTTGTTATACAGAATTATTAAAATTTTAAACGATTACTAATTGTAAATTGAAACATAGATAATACAAATTTACTTACTTGTAGAATAAGGTTGTATAGAGGATATAGTAGTCCAGTGTGAGTATTTTTTTTATATTCGATACAAGATTACTTTTACTAACATTAACAATATTCTATTCATATCTAATTCATTTATAGTATGTTCCTCAGGCATTTCGATTCATGCTGACTAAGGCCTTAGGCAATAATTACACTGATAAAATTGCATCGGTTTGGGATGAAATTTTAAGCCATATTATAAAAGCAATGCAAGATAAAGTACGAGAAGGGACGAAATTAAAAGAAGATAAAGAAGAAGTTGCACGCCGTATAAGTAGCGCCTATCTCACCGATAAAAAAAGAGAGGACTGTAAAAGTACTACCAATGGCAGTGAGGATAGTCCGAATGTGATGTAAAATGGCAATTACCAGCTACCTACCAGCAGTTGAAACAACTATACTATCCACTTTTAATATAGAGTATTAAATAACTTGATCTAGTAACTTATTGTAGTATTTCCCTTTCTAATTCAAGTACTCGCTTGATATTGACCATTTTATAATAGCTGAACGTAGTATTGGAAAGGGTTTACGGAGCTAAAACATTTGCAAATCGTAGCCCAGTGACGAAATAATATAATTTTAAAAACATTGATTTATAAGCTCTACTTAAATTTTATGACACGAAAGTATCTCGTCTAAGAATGATCGAATAACGACATTCTACCTACAGAAATCGATTAAAGAATTCATCCAATAACTAATCCAATTTAGGTTTTGACAAAAGAAGTAGTTACTTCTGTTATAATATGCTGATATCATTATAATTAAGCTGTTGCGTTAGTGTGCTTCTGCTACAAAAATCTTTTATCAGCGTCAATTGCAATGTTTTCTTCTACTCAACTGTCTAACTGTTGAAATCTAATTTCTGCATGCAGAGTTAGGCGGCAATTGAAATTACTGCAAAAAATTTCTTTACCTTTGCTATCATTGAAATGAAATCAGATAATACGTTAAGCAAACAGTGACTTTGATCGTCGATAATAGTATATCAAGGATATTCGTTATAAATCAGTGTTTCTATCTTCACATAGGGTATATTGCTGGTCAAAGTTAAGATATACTTATGATGTGATAGAATTTACATTTATCCTGCCGCTATAATAGATTCCACGAAAAGATATTAATCCGTGGGCTGCCTTATAAGATATCAATATCAACGCCTTAATTTTTAAAAATATATGTTGCTTATAAAATTATAGAATCTATAAATATCTCGTGATGTAATAATGAAAGCTACCAAATGCTCAATTTAGAAAATATATGTTGATATAAATACTTTAATCATATACAAATTATTAAAGTCTGATTCAATTATGGTCGAACTATAATTTGCTGTATCGCAATAATAATTTAGACTAAAGGTATTAGTGCATGAACTAACTTATAAGAAATAAATTGGCGTAAATATAAATTTAAGTAATTTATATCAAATAGTTCATCTAAGATAGGTCGATAGTACGTGACAGCATCTTTGCTATTGGATCAAATAATTAACCTATGAAATGTACTACCTTGGATTTCAAATTATTGTTTCCGACAAGATTAAAAAAAATGAAATTAACGATGAATCTATTAAATGTTGCATTTAATATGAAATTTTAGAAAATCTAAAACTGTTGACCGCTATCTTTTCTTTCAATAAAATACGTTCGACCCCTTATTCAAAATCTGAGACATGGCTAAGACGAATTAAAAAGGTCCAGCTTTATTAATAAATTTCTAATACGCATTATACCAACCTATTGTTAAATTAAATTATCTTTAATAAGGACAGCTTCTTCGTTGAGGCTAAAGACTGAATATTGTCGTCAAATAAATTAAATTACGAAATGAATTTCAAGAGATTTTTATTTACTTAACCAAATTTACATCGTCAACCATCCATGGAAAACAGTAACACTTATCATAGAATGATTTATTATATATTAGTATACAGCATAAAGGATGCGTTGAAAAGTCTGTTTTCTCATTTCCTGTAAAAGGCGAAATTTTAACCAATATTATTCACCAATCAATTGAATGAATGTGATCGCAAAACAGAAGTAGTGATAAAAGGAGAGGATTTATGATAAAATGAATATCTAAATTACTGCATTAAAATTATTTTTTATTCTTCTTGCCATACATACTGTAGGTAATCCGTCTATACTGGCGTGATAATCGGTAAGGAAGATTGATTTTATTATTCCATAAATCATCATCATGGTACAATCTTTATATGGGTATTGGTACAGAAATTAAGTGAGTTTATCTTAGCAGATGTTAGCAAAATAGAAATCTTTCATTACTGGCTTAAATTACGGTGAAAGGGACAGATAAAATAGAATTATTTGCTTACAATTTAATTTCGTAAATATATTTTATAGCAATTTATTTTCAAGTACTAACAATAGTAATAAAATATGCAGAATAGAGAATTGCATTCAAAAATAGGGCCCATCAGTCCAGTTCCTTAAAAGTAGTCTGATAATGTTCGATAGATAATTTACAATTTCGGTAGTATTTACGAATTACATAGAATCATTTCGAATGGCTTTTACGGTAAATCATAGTTTCATTTCATGATTATTGCATAATAAATCATTGAATTCTAAGGTAGCATCATTAATATCTTACTTTTTATTTATTGCTTATTAAAGTGAATTTGCTATGTACCGATCGTATTTACTAGCGATAAAAAATGGTCGTTAAATTCTATAGCAGCAATAAAACTGGTTTAGTTATTAGCTGACAGTTCAGGACTAAGATGTAGGCTTGATTCTATCCATTTTGCATTTTATTAGTCAGCGATTCTTAATAACATGAAATAAGACATTTTGATATAAAAAAAATAAGCGTGGTAATGCATGGAAAAACTGTAGATCGTTCGATAGCTAAAATTTTGGTGTATACTCGCATGATCGATCACCCGTATTGCTTTATCGATTTATACGAGGTATAAATTGTTGACAAATATTCTCTATTCCTTAATTACTTATGCCTTTCATTTCAATTTAACCGAATTACTTCTATTTATGCCTTTATAACTAAAGTAAGAATAAAAATTCTTTAATGGGATCTATTGTAGTAGATATCCTATCTATCTATTCAAAATTTTATCGTTGTCAAATTATTTTAAATATAATAGCTAATCCTAATGGACTTAAGGATAAAAGCTGAGCCTAAATTAATCTCTATCGGGGTTTACTCGCATAATTTCAAACCGGTGTGAGCGATTTTGTAATTTAGATTCCTATTTGGAAGAAGCATGAAATTAATTATCTAAAGAGATTTAGTTTAAATGATTGTTTTCTACTCTAATAAGCTATACTAATAAGCCTTTCACAAAAAAATTCGAAACTTTTCGGGAAAATTAAATTATAACATTTATACCGAATTTGTTCTTCCAGATTTCAAAGGAAAAGTTGTGAAGATCATTAACGTTGTCATGATTTCAGTATCGCGAAGATAAATGCCCACTAATAACAAGCTAAATCTATATAGTTATATGAAACATTAAATAGATATTATCACCCAACACTATACTTAAATTTTAGAATGGAAGCATAAATTTCACAGATCGATTAAAAAACAAATTCGGGCGATTTAGACTAACAAGCATAAACCTAATAATAAAATGATAATTATTTTGTGTTATTCAAAGTTTTCCTAGCAGGATAAGATTCTTCTATTTCTGGACCGTACTTACTCTAAAAATAATTATATATTTCTTTCAGGATAGATAACTCGCTCATGTATAAGGCAATCTGAGTGAGATAATCTCTATTTTGAAAAAATGATGCGCTTTAATGGAATGCAACCATAGTGAAAGGATTCAATATCGTAAAGCACTATCAGGATAGAAGGAGATATGGTTTAATTCACAATAACGACTACTGGGTGCCCTAACCTAATCCTACCTTGAAATTAATTTGTTTTTGTGTCGATGTTGAGCTTGACGTTGAACATACTATAGGCTAAATGATATTTTCGTTCATTAGTACTGTTGTTTGCTCTAATAGCTAGGATAATTACGATAATCAACCTTCCATCCTGTCACAAAACAGCTTTGCAACAAGATAACGTAATGTACAATCAATAAGACAATTTCTTGAACCACGTATCAAGGAACGATATCTGCACTAATCAGGGACGCTTTTGCTCTATTAGCAGACTACACAAAGACGTAAACGCTTCGTATTTTACGTTAAACACTAAATTTAAGAATTAAACTTATTACGCGATATATTGTGTTTATGTACTCTTCCTTAACAGTTCATGAGTCATAGTCAGTACGATTAACTTTGAAATCATTCACTGAATTGGATATTGATTTTAGCTACTGCTTCCTAATGCAGACAACAGTATTTGCGAATATAGAAATCTGATGACTAATACAGAATAGTCCAATTACGATATATCCTATAACGGGACATTTCCACGATAATTTACAATCTACCATAAGTAAGTTACAATCAAAATGATTCGAACTGTAAGTATATAATTCGTATTCCCTAATATAACTTTTAATTTTGGTATATGTATATATGTTACTATCATGAAAAGCCAGTGCTATATTAAAACACAGTATATCCAAATTAGAAGTTAACTAAATAAGGATAAACTAACAAAATTATCCTAACATAGATATTTCTACGCTAATACAGTACATAACACTGTCGCACATCCATGAAGCATAAATAGTATATGACGTCACCAAGTATTCCATCTTTTAAAATTTAAAATTTCCTGTAACTGGCATTACAAAAGCTACACTGTAAAGTAATTAACTTTTGATACCAGTAGTTACATGCATTTGCGAAAATTTTTTTCCTGGATTTAAATTTCCGATTAAATCGAGAATGATTTCATAGCTTAATACTTCATTCAAACTATAGAGAATTATGAAATATTATTATCTTATTAAAGTCTAATATATATTGATTCTAATGAATTGTAACATGCTATGCCAGAATTTATCCCAATATCTCTTAACAGTTAGACGGCATTAGGGTATAGCAGTGTAGTTTTTCTATGAATATTAGAATAAAAAAATTACAAGTAAAAAATTTTTACTACTAATAGCTAGCATCTTGGTGCATTAATATTAAATTAGGATTTGTGTAAGCTCACTTTGGAATAAGTTGATTAAACTTAAAATCAAATCCCAAAGATTTCTATAATATGAGATTTTATCCAAGCGTTATGAATCACCTTTTATTAGATTAACATCCGTTTCTGGTGCATTAAAACAAAATAATTAGCATCTAACCAATTGAAAGATCTAATTGTTTCTTGATCAAATTTATTCCTTTAAATTAGAGAAAATTTAGAGATATATCTTTTATTTGACGATCATGCTTCCGCAACGGTCGTGATTCGCGAGAAATTCTATATAAAGTAATTATTATTTACAGTACGGCACAAGTTAAGGCAATAATCGGTTTGAATAATAATACTAGGGGTATAGTTCACAAACTGATTATAGATTATGTTAAATCTGTAAAGTAATTAATCTAAAATTAGTTTTATTTTCGTTTAATTTATAATAATAGCTTTAATTGATTTTATCAAGCGAGTTATAATATATTGGAATATTTATAATCGTCATCTACTCATATGTTATAGAAAATCAGCTTTAAAAAATATATACTAAAGTGAAATTTGTTAATTAATATTAGAAAATAACACCTTTACACTGTAGAATATGCTTAGAGTCTGTATCCACAGCATAAATTCAGCAATATACAGCAAATCGTTTCACTAGGCGGAATACTTCCGAGATCGATTCAATCACACTTTTAATACTTTAGCCTTGTAAAAGACAACAAAGGCGTTACTAAGGCGTTTAGCTTTTGGAATATACTATAATGCATTCTTATCTAGGTTGTTTACTAAGTAAGCAATACTATGATCAATGCATTAAAATTAATCGACTTAAATTATATATATCGTGTAGGTAATAGCTGCGGATTTACATGAATTTAAGGTGAATAACAATTTACTAACGCTAGATAGATGCCAGGTGTTGACTGTAATACAACTGTAATAATGAATACCTAGATTTTTAACTGGATCAATGCATCATTCTGATTCCCAGCATCCTGTACTTTAGAAATTATTAATAAATTTTTTACTTCCATATTAATTAAGGGTCCCTACTTTGACTTTAAAACGGAAACTTCAAAACGCAAGTTTCACTCCTTTGAATTTGCGTTAATATTTAGCTACATATTAAATATCACAATCCAATATTATATCGAGCAGAATAAGAGTGATTTATAAGCCATACGCACATATAATAGAACTATAAATTCATATTGCAATAGTATGTTATGATCATTGGCTAACCTATTTAATAATGATCGATTCGCCAATACTTTAACGAGTATAAATCTTATATACTCGATGTCATATCCAGAAATAAAGAGCAGATGCTGCAGAATAAATTAAAACAGCAAATAAGTTATATAAAAGTATATATATATATGTTACGGTATGTTATATATACATGCGTGTATCTGTTTGTTTACTTGTATGCGTACGTGCAGAGAGTAGAAATCAATATAAAGCAATTCACCTATAGTATATATATATACATAGCATTTTATGTTGTATTTAACTTAAAAATAAATCAGAATAATATTTGCTGTCAAGACAACAATTATACTGTAAACTATCAACCATTATGTGTAAGGTCACTGTCATATGTTTAGACTATAAAGTATAGCGCCAGTATAATACAATGATATGCGGATATCGTATGAAGGCTAAACCAAGTAAAAATTTTCTATAGCGCCCATTACGAGAAAAATGTTCGCCTAAGATTTCGCAATACGAGCTGATACAATCATATATTATTTTCATTGATCACATTAACACTGAGCTTTTATATTTGTGATGAGAATGATAATAAAATAGAGATCATGACTTTTAATAGCACCCATATCGTAATATCTGTTCGACATCACATTTATCGGAGTAACTTTGTTAATAAATTTACGTAAATAACATACGAGCATTACTATGTAAATGTGTCTGAGCAGGGTAGATTATCCCAATAAAATTTGGTGAAAGGTATAAGTAAAATGGGCCGGAGATATCAAAGTTATCCAAAATGAAATAAACGATAGGTTCTTTTGTAATACAGTCTGTGAATACTAAAACCGTAGATATAATGGTATAGAGCATACAGTTATTACTGATATTTTCCCAAAACTGCAATAGCAAGTAGGTTTAGGGATAGAGAGCAATCAAATCGTACAAGTATGCATCTGCATTTACATATAAATATCACGCCGCGAAAGACAAATCGAAAATAATCTTTTGAAAAATTTAAATCATAATAACAAATATTTTTTCAGAACAAATTTGCAATGAAATCAACAGAAATTTCGGATTTTCTATAATACGAGTAGGTATCAGGAATTAGCTATCGTAATTTTTAAAAGTAACGCTTATCAATAGATATAGTTATTAATCACGCCTGGCAGAAATCCTTATTTAACGTGTTTAATCCTAAAGCTTGATTATCTATTAGTAATTAGGATTACTTATTTTTGAGTTAATATTGTTGATACATGCTAACGATGGCTAGTTTTGAGGAATAAAGCCTAATGAATAAAATAGATTGAATCAAAAGTGACTATTAACCTACTACTTTATCCATATACGATAGTGAGTAGTCAATTTAGAAATAAATTTAGATACTTTTCATTTTTAACTAAGTTATGACTAATGCTGAACAAACAGTATAAATTAACTATTGCTTTAGCTAATCAACCGAATAAAATTTGACTAGAAATCTTGATAAACAGCATAGAAGTCTCATGAATGGATTGCCTACTTTATTAGTTATTTAACTTTCAGCATTATTACATACAACGTAGGTAGCAAAACAAATTGAGGCAAACAGCTTTATCAATTGTTTAGCAATATTGAGAATAAAGATATGATTGTGACTAAATAGCGAGCTGAATTATACGGTAAAAAACTGTCTTTGACAAGAAATGTGAGGGAAAATGGCAAATGGTGATCAATTAAACTTTCTAAAAATCTTTTAATGTAATATTGCAAAACTATGATATTCAATTTGTTTCAATACATAACCTAGCGTATTTACAGTAATATCCTAGGAAATAATTTGGGAATTTTTATAATTATAATGAATTTGATTCATTACCCGAAGGTTGCTCTATCATACACGTACATCTGCCGGACTATAGATGGTCTACATATTTTTAAATTTGCTCATGACAACAGCATATCCGGCATTGACTAAAATCTTTGTAATAGCATTCATCTTCTTGCTGATAACATAAATAGAACTATGGTAATATTACACCATATGGTTATATTATAATAACCACTTGGTAATGATAAGACTAAGAAAAGTATTACTTAAATTGATGATATAATAATTTACTCTTGGTGAGAAGATAAATAACAATATACACAAGTACGTATCCATGAAGTCATTAGGCGTCCCCATAGTTATATCTTTTTTTTAAATCGGAAGATATAAAGAAATTTTAGACGAAAGTTTGTACTATTCATAGCATAGATTAGTGGATTCCAACAGGAATTAGCATAGCCAAATAAACGAGCTACAAAAAATAGCTTGTCTTCTGTTTCATCTGCATTTCTCGGGGGGAAAATGATTGATGAATATGTTATAGATACAATGTAAAAGGGTAGCCATGATATGACTTGCACTATTACTACGGTAACTGCAGTTCGCATAGCTTTACGATGTAATTTCATATTAACACATATTTTTTGCTCACTGTGAACGCTGTTATTTGATTTATAGACCATATAAATATAAGTTGAGGATGCAATAAAAACTGGCAAAGCATGCAAAGTAACACCACCGAAAGCAATATAAACTCGATCTGATGTATCAGTCCAATTGGCTTGACATGCACTATAGTCACCTTGTGTTTGTACATTGGAAATAATTAACTTGGGTATGGCATAGATGCCTGATAGTAACCAAGTCATAGATATCATTACTTTCCGTCTTTTACGATTAAATATTTTACTAAATGTTAACGGATAAACGATAGCATACAATCGCTCAAATGTAATTGCTAAAACTGAAGTGGCTGACGCTGCAATGGATAACATTTGTATAAAAGGAATTAGCTTGCATAATAATTCACCAAATATCCAGTCATTACCAGTAAATGTCAATATAGTAGCCACTGGCATACAAAATATGCAGACTAATAAATCGGCGATAGCTAAATTAGAGAAAAAATATTGCTTTGCTGAATTGAATTTTCTTTTTTGCCAATATATTGATAAGACTAACAAATTACTGATAACTCCTAGGATGAAAACGGCACTATAGCAAAATACTTTAGCCAGAATTATCGATTTATAATAATTGGTCCGATTAAGACGAAGCTGATCTTTGAAATTCATTTTTTCAATACGTAAGATTTCCTTTCCTCCGGATAAGAACTAAAAAGATTTTTCTGCCTACTTTAGCAGCACATGTAAAAATACACTTCTCTCGATTTGATTAATGTGAATTGTAATAGCCCTAATGGAAAGCAAAAAGACAGTAAATATAAAAAATTTTGAATTCTTTACAAATAACTTGTACTTAAATTGCCCAATTTTATGCAAGCTTAGTAGTTAAATTTAGTGTACAGATTATCTATTAACTAGTAATTTATTTTATATTCATAATTTTGTATGACTATTACAATTAATATCATATTTTGACATTAAAATTTCAATAATCTTACCACCATAATCTGCTTGCTGTTAACCAGTAATGAGGCTGTAACTGAAACTTTTAACTGAAATGTTTCAGATACCCGGTAAGGTCTTATTGACGGCAATTAAATGATAATTTCAAATAATGATAAAAGTAACTCTTCACTTTAGTTAATAATTATAATTATGTACGTATACGATAATATCAGAGGCGTATTATCAGAGATTACTATCCCAAGCATTGATGAGTCACAGAAATCTTATGCTGATCTGAGAATAATAACCAAAGTAGCTTCTGAATTCAATTTACTTGCTTAAGTAAAAGTAGAGTATGTAATAACGCGCTTAAAATGTTAAAATATTTCTGATCATCTCTATTCTCTTTGCATAAATCAGTTCATCTTGATTTCTAAATTCAAATGTTCCAATCCGATCTCAACTATTAATTTCAATCCCTATATCGTCAATTCCTTTATTATCTCTAATCTATTCGAGTTTGCTGAGCTCTGAATGAATACTTTTATCGAAAGTAACGATAACTGATTGGATCTGGCGTGTTGTTATGATATTGATTCTTGTTGATTAGGTTACAGATGTTAAGATATTCAGTTGCTAACATAAATGGCAGTAGCCATAACGAATAAGCTGAATATAGTTGTATAACCAATCTAATCAAACGATCTAAATAAAAATTAATTGTCTACTTCATTGTTCTCGATCCTTTTTATGTCATTGATATGTAAGATACTACTGTACTATAGTTTTCATCAATGGGAGAATAATCAGAGGTTATAACTTGTCTAGTTATAACTCTTTATTAATCTTCGACTGCGGCTTTAGTTTATTCCTATTGCGAGGGATTCTATTCAATCTTGTTAAAAGACTGAATTTGATCTGTGCACTAAAACTATCAATAACTACTTAACAATACCATAATTTCCTACCACCACGACCTGCTATATGCTTTGATAACAGTATAAAAATTACCACAGTATTGAATATTACGAATAACAATTTATATTTGTCTCAGGCATAGGATATATTTAGTAAAATTGCTTTTATTCTTTAGCATTCTATTTCAATTGAAAAAAATTGGGAAAAGGGAAAAATACATATACATACTTAATTACTTACTTACCATCTATCTATCGTACGTTGATTCAGGGAGTTTTTATTCACAATTAGTAATTAAAGAATAAAATGATTGAACGTCTTGAGTAGAGACCCCGATTTTTAATTAATGAAATGAATGGTATTTAATCAATCACAGCTACACTAATCTTGTTTATTGGTAATGGATAAATTATATCATGTCGACGAATGAATAATTTTACTTTTTTAGATTTCTAATTTTATATTTTTACGATCATAAAAGAGATCAAAATAGAACGAAAACTTTCAATTCTAAAACAAAATACGGGACTTATGAATGATAGCCAGCACGAATAATTAATTAATCAAATTGTACTTGTATGATGTTAGCGCCTCGACAATATCATTTCTGGCGATAGTAGGTCGAATTTTTATGCTTTTTTTATATCGTAAATTAAATACACAATACAACTTAGTGACAGAAGAAAAAATTACACACTGTTATGTCTTCTCAACTTTTGATTTTGAAATAGAATTCAGATTGAATAGGTATAAATACTGAATAAGACAATCGACTGCATGGTAGAATGCTTTTTCATATTTTTTACTATTAAGGGTACCAAAACAGAATATAAAGCCCTTATTCATGTTGCCTCAAAAGGTCTAGAAGTCGCCGTTTACTAATCGTAGTTATTCTATAGTTATTTTATTTTATAGTTTAGTACAAAAATGAGCTCTTAAATCAACTTATACCAGCGATAAAGATGTTATTAATTTATAATCGAAAGCTACTGCACGCGTGGGAGGAGGAATTCCAAGATGTCGGAGTTTTACAATCATTATCTTGCATGATAGAAAGCTCTAATAATTTTAGCATCTTCGTATTAATTAAGAATGGATGTCAATGAAAAACATAAATACTATAATCGGAGTCGATCAGTTATACAGATTGACTTTTGTACTATAAATTGCATAATTTTCCTATCATTTTAATTGAATAAATTATAATTGACAATACTATTGCTGATTGCATTGCACCTGCCATGAAGTCAGTTGAAATTGTACTTGCATAAAATAAGAACTAACCTTACCTGTGATAGATTAGAATAATTTTATGTAATCCTTAATGGTTTTATCAATATTGATGGTATTGGAATAGATGACCAGCGATAGATCGTTTGCTATCCGCTGGTATCATTTCAGTAGGTCAGCTTTTATTGATACAACATCGTAAATATGGATCTAAACATTTTATCATTGTTTCTTTAATTATGTGTATCAAGCTGCCTGAAAATTAAAAACCAAAGTAGACAAACTGGTAGTTAATTTCAGGTACTTACCAATAGCTATCGTAGGCTTGCTAACTTAATGTTAAAAGAAGTATAAGGATCGAACACTTTCCCACATTAATTTAAAGTCGTTGAAGGAGCACTGTTCTCTTCATATGCTATAAATTTGGACTATGTACTGGTAAGAATTATCAGTCACATTTGGCAACTTTGATTTTAATGTAACTTTCTAATGTTCGTTAATAATGAATTCGATAACATTTTACATATTAGTAAAACATACATGATTACGATATAGAATAAATCATTTTCCCTATGGAATAATGTCAATTACATGAGTAATAAATTCTTCGGAGGCAAACGCATAATTTATCAAGAACTATTAGAAACCTTTCTCATCGTTACATTAAGATTATGACTAGAGATTAAAAGAATACTATCAGGTCTTAATTCAAAATTTAAATATTCAGATTAAACTAATTCATTTTCTATTACTTGCGACGGTAATTGCTTCGCTAATGCCGCTCAATTAGTTCATTAAAATATATTAAATATGTCCCAAGCATGATCCAGCGATGATGTTCATCACCATCAATATTACTGAATAGAGACGAAAATCCTCTAAATACGAATACGCGTATGATCGAATTCATACATATCAAGTATGCATGAACGATCATCTAGTGTATTTCAAAGTTATATTTCCAATCCTACTAGCTTGATATGATCAGACTGAAAAATTTACATACACGTATATATACATGCTACAGAAAATACGCACGCATAATAAATAATCCTTATTTGAAATTGAAGCGATCATAAAAAATTATAGAAATGCATGTCTAAACAATAAATAATATATACTTAAACGCCAAATCCAATAGGCAACTTAATTTTAGCCGAATGTGGGAATAGAAAGTAATAAAAGTATAAAAGAAGCAAATTCTAACCATTCTAAGCGTTATAGTAACCGATACAATGTAAAAATTAAGTCCAAAATAATAAAGAAAATATCCATTTAATTAAGTAAGGATGGAAACTGATTTTAAAAATCTTGAACCAATTAGGAACAATATTAGAATAATAATGATTAAAACTTCAAAATCTCATCTAGCCATCTAGGCGATCATTTCCACGGTTAATTAATGCCCGTTCAATTGTCTACGATATTTAGCTACTTCAAATCCTTCCCAATCGTTGCTCTTAAGATCTTGGAAATATCTACATAAGATAGTGTAACATTTCAATCATGCATATTCAACACCACATTTTGAATGTGTTAACATCTAAAATGTTTCATTTAAAGTTAACCCAGTGAATAATAAACATCAATGGTTACTCCAAAACGATATCATTGATAGATGGCCAATAAAATGTATTTTACAAGACGATTACTTTATATTTTGAAATGATTAAGGAGGAACTAAAAATGACTTACTTATTTTTGATGTATTTCAACGCTCTAAGTTCAGCTTGGGTTAGCGGCTCATGCGCAGTAGTAAGATTACTTTTCAAAATATCGATACTTAAAGGAAGTAAATTTGAAAAATTTTACTACTATAATAAGGGATTGATCTCATTACATATTAACGTCATACGCTTATATTAACTGATATGTTAGAGAAACTGTCAAAGATTTCTAATAGAGAAAACTTTATAAGCAGCTGCACAATATAACTTACTTTGTCGAGCTAATAACTGTTGTTGCCAATCTCTTGCAGTCAATACAAGAGCGTACAGCTAATTTACATATATCAACGCCAATTTTCTGGAATATATTATAAAAGGATGATGTAAAATGACGCGATCAAAACAATTAGCACAAACTTGCAAACTAGATATATAATGTTTAGTGCTCACATTGCAATAATTTACTGCTTTTCGACAAGCGTCTTTAATTTCAGTAGTAGCTGGATGCCATTCCGGAGGACCACTCTGAGACAGTAAACCCATTCCAATTGGTGCAGCATTGATCACACCCAACCCACAAGACTACATACAATGGAGTTACGTTGAGGAAAATGAGGCTTATCACTCATACTACGCATAAGCAAATTAAAAAGCACATGGAAAAACTGTACCTCAAAAAAGTCCATATAATTCTTTAGTGATGTATCGAATAAACAGTAGCGACAATAGCTAAGAATGGTATCGATCTTTGCATTTTCAGCCACATTTCTATATTTCAAAAATTTAAAGGCTTAAATAAATCATTAAAATCTACGTAATTGATAGCTAGAGCAAAGTTATCTCGCTTAAATAAAGAGTCTTCCTTACATGCAATAAAAATTACCGCTAAGCAAAGATGCGATAGGTTTAGTGTAATACGAGCGTGCAGTAGTCTTTAACAATTGACTATTATAATTAAATTGTCTTACTTAAGAATGTTTAACGGGTAGCCGGTAATACCAATATATCTCACTTTGCCGCTATCTTTGATCTAATGAATAATTGGTACCATTATCAGGCTAAAATTTTCTAAAAAGCTTCGTTAAAGTATTTACCATTTTCAGCGCTGGCAAAGTTTCGTTTATAATTTGATCCACAGAAGGAGCAAATTCCAGATCGTGTACCTATGTACACATTTATAGTGAATTTTAAGACTCCTTTGTTTAACTCAATCACAATTTATTTGTAATAACAGAGTAGGATAGATTTTTGAGGTTATTGTAAATATTATCTCTGAAAATGCCTTACAAATTATAAGCTAGCTGTAAATTACCGTTGTTCACTATGTCGGCGGTCACTAATATACACGTACGAGTAAACTTAAGACCGACAATTCTGTTTCATTTAGAAAACTTTTATTGTTTTATGTTATAGAAACTGATAGTAACTGGAAGATAAGCTACCTGCAATATATCTAGGTAGTCAAGTTTCATTGTTCTTAGGCTGTTATCAACGCTGGCAAATATTTTTTTCGCAGAGAAATCAAACATCCTGTCAGTACTTGGTTCATAGCGTCCTACTTTAGTTGCAATATAATATGCATCTCGTGGGATATTTGGTAATACCTGCTCGTATAAAACATTTCTAATTCAGTAGGAGATGATGTAATGACCTTACAAACACATCAAACGAATATATTTAAATGATAAGATACCTACTTATACATAAATACATATTTGCAGTATAGGATATGCAGAGTACAGTATAGTAATAACATAAATTATATACTATACTATTGGCGCATATACAAGTTCACAATTTAATTACACTTCAGGTATATCAAAATTTAATAGTTGCACAATAACGTTTACCTTGCCTAAAAGACTTTCAGATCTACCATATCCATACCATGGTGCAGTATCAATAAAGTTGATCCCCTGCTTAATGGCGTATTCAACTAACTCAATACCGTCGTTGTCACTAATGCGACTGTAAAAACTACTAAGAGCAGCACCACCTGTAATTGGTAAATTGGGCTTTAAGTACTAAAAAGTTAAGTAGATCACCATCAGGCTGTGTACCGCAAGGGAAATATTGAACTTATTTCCACAGCAGTAGCGATTGCTATTATCCAATTCTGATATGATGTATATTAAAATTCTACCAATGGATGTACGAAAGTCTCATAGAACAGTTACGATAGTTTCTACTACACACTTACTGCATTACGGTACATTAAGAACCAATGTCAAGTAGACATTAATACTATATCTTTACAGCACGATATGAAGCATAAAATCCGGGCCTCTTATAAATACTTATTTCTATACGGTCGGAAAGTAGAGCCGCTAAGTATAAACACCAAACTTTTTCTACCTCTTGACAGCAGATTTATACCTTAAAACTATCATTCATAGTATTGAAACTGTTATCGGCTATAGTATCAAAGCTACCTATATATCTATCTCAGTACAGCATGCAATAATATTGGGTATCGCTACGTTGTCAACTAGTACTATATATCGGGACTGGTGAGTGGTAAAGTTGTAATTAATTTCTTTACATCAACTGATTAGAAAATTGCAATAATGCAACAACTACATGGATATCATCTGAATAGCTGAAACCTACAATCACACGCGTATTACAGAAGTATATTTTTTGCCATATTAAGTGCAGCAGTTAGGAAGATTTTAAGATTTACTTGTAATATTATAACCAACATACCAAATCCTATTACGGATACATCCATATCCGTGTTACCCAATCGCCTATATTCCATCTTTCTAACAGCTTCGATATCATGAAAGCCATCGATGTATGTTATCGGAAGAGACCTATCAAAGGTTAGGGTTATATAGATAATAGATTAATTAGCTAGCATACGAACGTATAATAATTGATCTCTTTCCTTTACATGGTTAATAAGCAGGTATGGGCAGAATCAAATTTTCGAATGCTGCAAGTCAGAATATCCTCTTAGCTGGTAATTCAATTGTTAATGTATCCCAGTCGCACTACGACAGTATCAGCTTTAGAAGCTTCGCTAGCTTTATTACTTAGTAGGATGTCCTGGTAAATTATTCTTCGAACAAATTTTTTAATGGTCGAAAATATGAATGGATAGTTTATCTATCATACTGTCTTGTACTAGCGTAAACAAATTTATAAAAAGTACTTTAGCTTAAAACCCTTGTTGGTACCAAGTTCGGATCAATGAACCCAGTTGCTATATATGTATATTATGTTAATTGCCAATTCTTACGGAATGGATAACGATTAGAATACCGACAAGGCATAACTGATTTAAACTATCATCAAGTTATTATCTATGATGAGAGATTACCGCGAACGTTATTATGCAAAATAGTTGACAATAGTGAGAAAACAATACATAAAAGCGACGTTTATTCATGTCTTCTACTGCACTGTTTATACTATACATATCATTACCATATTAAAAGGAAAACATTGATTTTTGCTGAATCACCTCGATTTTAAAAGTTTATACGCATAGTTTTAGGATATACGGTATCTAGCGTCGTCATGTGGATGATATTGAGGGGTAATTGTGATAATTCATTACAAGCTACATTGCAACAACGTACTGTACAATTTTATTTCGATCTTTTTATCGCGTTTCATTGATAAATTTACGAAGTACGTAATACTTGTTTTATGGCACTGTTGCTTTAATGGTTAATCTTAACAAGAAGTGAACTCTCTCTTCTTCATTCACATAGAAAATATTCCAATGTTTAGGAATACGCTGTCTACTGCATGTTTTAATAACAGAACGTCCAAATACTACATTCCAACCGAAGGATAACACTCTTTAAAACGTACAGGATTGACAACAGTACTGTAAACTGCATTTCATAAACTCCTTCAATCATTTAGTGTAAGTGCAGTAGCATTGCCATAGTAGGAAGCTTTCGAATGAACTACAAAACAGTCTATCGGTCAACTTTTGCGTCATTGCTGTCACATACCTGCATGTTGCATGTACTGTATAGTTCAATGAGTGCACATATCCACGTCGATATTGTAAAATTAATGGAAATGTAACAGTTACAGTACAGTATACGCACGTAATAAGCCCACGAAATGAACTAATCACAAAACATCAACATATCTTTACGTCTTTTAGTATGTCCTTTACTAAATTGTATGAAAATTTATGTGTATAGATTACAGTTGTTAGCGCAACGCTATTCTAGTTTTCTTTTTCTTTCAGTTTCATAACCTTCGTTATTACTATGACCATCTAGTAGTAACAGTATCATATTAACAGTTGCGACAACTATCTGCGAAGGTTCGCCTTGAATTGTAGCACTGTGCTATCTGTGGCTTATAACCGAACATCTTTGCCTACCGGTTATGTCGGCAATAGTTCCCTGAAATCATTCGATATTATCGTATTGGAGATTTTCATGCATAGCAACCGTCACTATGACTTACTACTGTATAGTGATGATACGAGTAGAAGCAAGGTCATGGAACTTGACTTACCCTTTTGTTAACATTCTTGTGGAAATATTTCAGCTCTATTCCGGTTCAACAATCCAATCAATGATTTAATGCGATAGTCACTGTGGTCACTGTGGTCACTGTGATGAAGAAGAGCACCGATGATGTGTAAGATCGTTTAATTTTGGCTTGCAAGAAGAAACTGTTCCACTCTCAGTGGCGGTAAAATTAATTTTCGGGAAATTCACTGTCAATTACCAAATCGTTGACTGACAAACTGCCGAAGATGTCAATGACGACGGTTGTCACCCTTGCTGAATTGAAAGATTATTGTAGATCGAATGACATCGACTACGTATAAAGTTGCCGTCACTTGTACCTGGTAATCTATCAGCCAGTTTCAGTACCGTAACGTGGTGGTGGCGTACCATTCAGTACCGCCTACTTTCTTTTCCCTGTACTGTACTGTACACTGTACTACTACTGTACCTACAGTAGGATCGTGTGTAAAAAGTTTGAATATGCCAGCTACAAATTACACGTTCTCATACGTTCTTGGATGTGTGGCATGTCTAATTAGGGTGGTCTAGAGGTCAAGATCTCTCTATCCAATTTCTGTACTGTACAGCAAACATACAGTACAGTACAGAAATTCGATAGAGATTGATAAAGACATGGTTCGAGATCTGGACTTTTACAGTATGCAAGGATACTGTACACTGTACAGTACAATACAATCGCAGTATTACAGTACAGTATACTGTACAGTACAGTGTACAGTGTCTCTAACCTTGACGTGTCAAAAGTTCAGTTAACCTTTATCACGATAACAGATGAACTATTTCAATGAGAGATGAGAAAAAAATGACGGTCGAAACATTTTTTCGCGTGAATCGGGCAATCTGATTGGCTATCTCGTGACCTACCAGTCGGTAGCCGGTACCGGTAGCCCGTTTGACATTTGACATTTCGGAATCAGACGATATACTGTACAGTACTGTAAAAAGAAAGTACAGTACTGTACAGTGATCAAGTTAAGTTCAGTATCAAATCTCATACAAAATCTTCAATATTTTGAAGAGCAATTTTTTTATTATACTGTAAAATGACGGTACTATATTTTATACGTAACTCATGCCTTAAAGCAACTTCCTCGTGTAACTTCTGGATTACAGTTAACTTTTGTCTTCACTTTTGTGAAGCTATTGTAGTGCAATGTACAGTGTACGCGACAGACCCTTCTCTAATTATCTAAGGGTTAAAAGAGGGTCTCTACTCTCTAGTGTACAGTACACTAGAAACCCTCTATGAAGTACAGTACTGTACTGCACTGTGCAGTGTGCACTAGTGCACAGTAGAGACTCTCTCAATAATAAAGGGTCTCTAGTGCACAGCATGCTTATGAGCATGCGTATTTTCAGGTAGTCAAGGCTCATCCCTTATTCTCTTTTGATTTACCCTTTAAAGCAGCCACCAACCTTCTAAAGTAGCTGCGACCAATGTCTCTTCTCTTCTGTCATATGCTCCTTTATAATTGTCAGTGAGTTGTTGCCGTTCGCCTATTTCAAACAACGACAAAGAACCGTGATTTACAAATGATGACTATTCGATTTAAGCCAGCAAACAGTCGAACTTTGATGATGATTGTTTGTTTTAAGTGGTAACAGATAGGGAGGGTTTTGACAGCAACAATTTGTTTGGTTATAATTTGTTTATTGATATAGACCGAAAATGCAATAAAGTTCATGGCAACTTCTGGCAATTCATGACTTGATTTATGACCATGTCGTTAATAATAATAATTAATTATTATTTAGTATATCAAATCCATTTTTTCCCTCACTACACCACAGCATTACCTACATAGGCGTACGAGTAGTTAAGATCAATTAATGATTATATCATATTAGAATTTTTAAGAGATTGTGCAGCAAAACTGCTAGTTTTTAGACTTGGGTATAGTAGTACACGGGACGAGTTGATGTATAGCTACAAATGAACTATTTACCGAAAGCCAGAGATAGGTTGTTCTACTGTAAACCGTGAACGTACCATCCTCAAATGCAAAGTATGATCAAGAGTACTTACTGTAAATAAAGTTCTATCCTACTCATATGCTAGACTCTACTACAGTTAAAATTTCTCATATCATTCGCCAAGGCTCAAATTTTCCCTTCAAAGAAGTCAATATATGGATTCATTCACTGAGCGAGTACAACAGCTTGAGATCGCAATTAGATCCTTACTATGGTACATTAAATAATACAGATAAGAATATTTATCAATGCACATTAGTCATCGTTTTCTCTTTCATACCGTAATTAAAGCAAGTTGCTTTCTGTATTGTCGTAGTAACAATTTACCGTATATACTGTACTGCAGGATAATGGAATAGAATTGCAAGGATAGCAGCGAACTAATAACAGAGCCAAGAATCATTTATGCTTTGATTTCGACGTAATAAATCACCTATAGTGCCTAAAGATTTAGCTTGACTAAATACTAGCACAATCAATCTCAATTCTTAGCTAAGCGTTCATAGATTAAATGCGTGTAGAATTATAATTATCTATTCTACTTGATAGCATATTAAACAATTTCAATAAAAGAAATTCGTAGGGTAAATTCTTCATAAAGGCCACAAGAATCCCAGTTCATCGACAGATACAATCGCGTACATCGAGACCAGTATTAATTATATGATTATCAATCAGTCGAAAATAGCTACTAAATTAAACTACAATTTTAAAGGATTATAAAAAGAAAATGTACAACTCGACTAAAATTGCGATACTGTACGAAAGGAGGACTGATCATACGCTAGTTACCAATAGTGTTCTGTAACCTCACTCCAACTAAATGCCAACTCCGGATTCACATGGCCAACGTAAAGGAAATTTTTTATTCAGACACAGGGGTCGTAATCATAACATCAAAAGTTATACTACAATCTAGTCACCCATTCAGCGATAGAATGCAATCCGATATATTAAACTTTCAAGGTACCTAGTAAGAAAGCATCTTGTACCACGTATCATAAGGAATTAATTCATATTTTGTTATAAAATAAATACTATTCAATTTAATCATTTGACTTTAGATGTGTATTTATATCAACGTAAATATCAAAATTTCATTCCATGAACTAAAGTAAGAAATAAAGATTCTATCACACTTGTAGTGTAATCCACGCGTATTCTCGTTGCCATGATATACGTCAGCTTGAGAATCAATCGTTCAATGTACAGTATATCTCCATGATCACAATTTAGATAAAAGCCGCTAATTTATCTTTTGTATCGCTATGGCCAGACTTTTTAGTCATAACAGCGTTCAAATCCATAAACGTACTAGATTTTCGGCGTGTAGAAAAATTAGTTAAATTTGAAGAGGACAAGTTTGACCGCGACAGCCTACGTCTATATTGTAATAATTTCCCGCGTAGAACATAAATTATAGGATTCCAACATGCATTCGAATAACCAAATAGTCGAGCTGCATACTCAATGTTTGCTGCAGATGATGCCGAAATATTTGTTAACTGATTGGTTAAAGCACTTAAGACAAAAGCATAAAACATTATCCAACACAGGAAATGAACTATAATGATAATAACCGCCGTTAAAATCGTCTGCTTCTGAACCAACCAACCTTTTTTGTCAGTTTCTACATTGCTTTTGATGCCAGTAATACCATTTGTTTTACTTTTCATAGCGGCCAATATCTTCCAGTAGCAAACAGCTATAATAACCATTGGCAATACGTAAAGCAATAAGCCACCAATAGCGAAATAAATAAGGCTATCAGGGTAGACTTGAGTATTTCTACAAATCGTTATCCTGCCATTGGGTAGATAATAATGTTGTACATCCGTTACAAATAGAGTTGGTAAGGCGTAAGCTACAGCGGCTAGCCAAATTAAACAAATAATTGCACGTTTAGTCCATACATTAGATGTTATGCCATAAGTGAGCGGTTTCGTAGCCGCTAAACAGCGCTCAATACTGATAGCTAGTGTAGCAAATGATGATGCTCCAATTGATAATGTTTGTAGGAATGGCACAATCTTACACATAGCTGCACCAAAAGGCCATGTATAATGAACTAGTTGTAGTACCGCAAGGACGGGTGAACATATAACTGAAGATAGTAAATCAGCTACGGCCAAATTAAAGAAGAAATAATAGGTTACTAATGGTAAAGTATGTTGCCGTGAAAGTAAAATTATAACTGTGACATTGCTTAAAATACCAATAATGCTTATTAGGCATAAAAAAATTGATTTTACAATATCTTCAGCCGATGCTGGATGGAATATTGGATCGGCGGTTAGCATTACGTTGCTAGTTGAAAAGGCTGAAACTGCAATAGTTGTAATATTATCCATGCTTACTTTCCTCCTTATTTCAATCTTTCAACAGTAGACATGAAGAAGGCAACGCTTCTCTCTTACTTAATGTTCTCACTGATTACTGTAGCTTTTAATACACTAGCGATGACAAAGACTTGCACGTATTGTCTATATACAATCGCTGCATTATTTAAACTAGTTTTATTTGTGGTAACGCAAACTACAAATATGTTAATTAGGAATGATGCACTTATTATAAGATTTGGCAAGTATAAAATAATAGTTACGCTTGTGTTAGTATCGTGTACAAGTAGATCATAAAACAGAATTGAAACAATATTATTATTTAATACATCATTGATAAGTTTACAATGTATAATAGACTACTTAAAAGCGTACGGTGTTTCCATGAGATCTATTGAAATTCGGAATTGTTACCGGAAGCGGCTATTAATTTTAGCCTATTTTAATAAGAGTTTGTGACATTACTCATATCGACACCTGCTGATGCCCAATGCTATTGTACTGGTAGTTGAATTTAGAAAAAAAATCGCTATTACAACTTTACTACATCAACAAAGTGGACTGATAGTTAAAAAATATCGTAAAAAATGCAAGAAACAGTAGAGGAATGTTGATAAATTAAAGCAAACAAACCGTTATTATTAAAAATTCGCGATTGATGTACATTGTACCGGCACGTTAGTGAATTAATCAATAGTAGAACCAGTTTACGTCAGATCAGTAAATGGACAACTAATACCTCAGCGCTAATGCTTTATTAGCGAAAAAATTAAATCTTTTGAATTCTGTCTGGGCGTTAATTAACTCTTTAGTATGACGTAGATTGTGTTAATGGCAATTACTTCTCTATTTTCATGTTATTGGAATGTCACCCTTTATGTGTACCAGTTAATCAAGTCAAGGTAGATGATAAAATTATTTGGCCATGGCAAAAATTGCAAGTCCATAGTGCTACTTATTTTTGGATATTTTTATTCTGGTAAATGATAGTAACGCTACAGGGAACATAACATGAATCACTTGTATTGATATACTGAACTTAATTGACTTTTAAACATTTCAAAAAGTGAGATTTACAATAGCCTTAAATCGTATAATAAGATGCGGATTGCATGCGTTAAGGGGTTGTAGTTGTCATTTTATATTTATATCGCAAGAACGGTAACCATGGGTTAATTCTTTGTTTCACGGTTTATATGGATGTATTTTCAAGAATGATTGATACATGTAAAAGAGGGACGACTGTTCTAATTTAGCTGATACTAGCCAAAATTTTACTTAACACTTGTTACGGATTGTCAAAACAACCTAGCTGTAGTGTAAAAAGAATAAACGAATGATGGTTATGTCTCAGTATCCTAAAAGGAATAACTTCAGATACATCATACAACATCCATAATATGTGTGTTTTGGCTCTTACTAAGATATCCTACAACCATTTCAACATGGAAATTACGTATACATTACAAAACTATAAAATACTTTAATAGAATTATAAACTAAATATTTTCATATATTTTATCGGACATAAATAATTCGCTGTTCTGCTTCGTATTTGTCACTATTTGTATAGGTCAAATATCCGAGGTCAGAAATTATCAAAAGGGCTATGCAATATTACCAAATAAGACTGAAAGTCAACTTCTCAATATAGTATATCCGGAATAAGATAGGATGTAAGCTATACACATACAATTAACATTAATACCTCAGGACGGTATCGATGACTTCATCTATTGCTCTAATATTTAATGTCAGAAATGTCAAATAAGCCTTCTTGCACTTTGTCGCGGAGTAACTTTTGCGTGGCTGTTGCAACATAGTTTCTGTAAGATAACTTATCTCGGAATAAATTGACATTAATTGCCAATGACGCTTTACAGGTTTTCAATAGATAACTGCATAGTTGCATAATATTATCTATAAGCTGATAATTATGTAATTAAATCTATATAGATTACCATGAATTGACTGGCTTTTTCAATAAAGTTTAGGTTCAATTTTGTCTACGAGACTAAAAGGTGTTTTGCTGTTCCTCTTGATGATAGGAGATCGTGAGTATTTAGAGTCGTACTGCGGGTAAATATCAGGGAGGATGAACCTGACAGCAGGCTCGTAGTTGTAATTTCTGTAACACGCGTAGTTTTATTTTTCGTCATAACAAACTTAAATTTATAACATACTTTTATAGTATTCACACTTGCAATTATATATTATAGCTACAAATTACGTCAGAAGATATGCTATTATTGTTAAAATTATTTTTTCCAAAATCAGCCACGGATTTGAATATTGGATATGATACTGTATTAGCTCTTGCATAGATGCAACGCAAGAGTAAATACATTAGCAATAGGCAATAACTTAACTTAGCTGCCTTAAATTATTACCGATAGCATATTAATTTTTTTGAGCGAAGTATAAGATATAACACAGCTACCAATTCAATTATTCTCGGTAATATTATATAGGCTTGAATATACTATGAAATTTTGATTAACAGTTTACAACAATCTTTTGATCACGTTATCCAAAATTTTACTCAAGTCACTTTCTAGCGTTTAATTAATTTGATCACTTGCTACGTTGATTTTTTACTACCTTAAACTTCAATACTACCAAAATTTACTTTATATGACTTATTCATCGAGTGTTACTATTGATTATGATCATACAGTCCTGTACCCATTATTAGGGGACAGTCCATGTATTGGGATATTTTATCATGTAACTTCTTTATCCTAAATTAATCGTTATAGTTAATATTATAATAATATTTGTGATAGAACTTATACTATATTACCGTATCGAATAACGCTGATGTGGGAATCTATCATACAATATATGGAAACTTTTTTGAAATGGTGAACTCTGATCAAGTAGCTTCAAAATGAAATTTAACGAGTTTCCAAAATAGAAATACGTTTCTGATGGAAAAGTTAAGGAGATGATCAATGGGCTATCTTATTTTAAATTTTATAACAACAGTCGAGTAGAGAATATCACTTCTGAGCAGCACCTCAAAAAATTACTATGGATGTAGTTTTCACGTATTTCATGTTATTTGCACGTAGAAATGCAAAAATTAAACTGCTTAACACAATGCTACTATAATGCTTAAAATTAGTTCAGAGCATAAATATTGAACCAGGGTCAACGATCTATTGATCTTTATCAAATCATGTTAGTAATAGCAAAAAGCTCGCTTTAAAATAATTTCAAAACGCGTAAAATATTCTATTTACCCGTATTAGGAATCATTGTTCGGAAAAAAATCAAGTAGAAAATAACCAATCGCTATTCGCTGGACATTCATTAATCGGTAATCAATGCTTTAATCATACTCCCTTTTAAAGCGAAAATTTAGTAAGAAAATACATAGTTCTAATTAAATTAAAGTTCTACAACATGTTTTATGTAAAATCCAGCTTTTGGCTATTATTTTAATTGCTACGGAACCTCTTTTAGATAGCGTTCTCTTGTAATGTAAAAGTGCTAAAAATGTTTTATGTAAAATCCAGCTTTTGGCTATTATTTTAGTTATTAAGGAACCTCTTTTAGATAGCGCTCTTTTGTAATGTAAAAGTGCCATATACTTAAAGGTGCTAATTGTCTTCATTCCTATCAACCGTCTGACTATTGTTTGCAACATGTGTGATGGCGCCATACTCTTTGCTGAGATCACGAAAATTCGATCAGATGTATACGTATGATAATAATTAAAAAAATTATGGTATGTATGAATCAAAACTATATATCACGCAATCAACTGTAGAATCACGTTATTTAGTAGGTCAGAAAAAATTTCAATAAAATACATAATTCTACTACTGCAGTATTATTAAGTTGAAAAGGAAGTTATTAGAGGATAAATTCATCAATATTCTTAATGTATAATTTATCCTAGTTTTTCCGGTGATCAATATCGTACAAGCTACAAGCGGAGGCAAGAGAGATACATAAATAACTCTATTGTTTGTGCCAGGTTTTTTTATCTACCCATGTGCCAAGTAAGAAACACAGCATTTGCTGTTAACTTTAAAAATAAAATGACTTAAATAGAGTTAACGGATAGGTGGTACGAATTACCGGCAATTTATTGAAATGTCACAAATGGCGCCAAGAAAAAAGGCAGGAAGAGATAGTAATAATCAAAGATACTTCACTTTTAAGAGTTACAGATGCTGTATATATACAGTACGTACGGTTTAAATACTCATGATTGTATTTGCAACACGCTGTGCAAATGCTTAATTATGATATGAGTGTTATTTGTAAATTCAGCAGACATCGAAATTAAATACAGCTAGAGCGACCACCCCTAGTTTAGATTTAAAGTTCTAATATATTATGCATACGTAATCTACATTTGTTTCGTCTTAGGTATTTCGGATATGATGGTAATGTCATCAAAAACCTTGTAGATTGATTTGTATTGAGGATATTGAATAAATTACAAAGAAGTAGATATAGTTCGTCATGAAAGCGATTGCAATCACGAAAATGTTAAAATTTTCGTAAACGTTACAGTCAATGCAAGACCTTTGCTTTAAAAAAAAAGAATTTATGGAATAAATTCTACGAATTAAAGTCTAATAATTATACTAAAACCTAGAAAGCCATAGGTTAAAGACATTTTAATTACCGTTACGTACGAGAGCCCATAACGACTGTACTTGATGCATGTTTGCGAGTGCTTTACTATGTATTATAATATGTATCTCTACAAAATTACACTAACATTATTATGTATCTGGTATGCAAATACATTTAAATGCATCATTATTAAAGTCGATAGACAGACTCACTAACAGATTAAGTTCATAATGTTTTATATTGCTAAATGTATGTAGAAAAGTTAGATATTATTTCCTAGTATTAATTAAGTATAATGCCTAAACCGGAAAGTTAGTGTTTGGACTCAAATTATTTTAGAAAATAAAATGCTTCTATTATTATTA